ATCGGCCAACACGACAGCTTTTGTTAACCATGTTAACGAAATCACCATACGGTTTAAAAACCTGTCGTCTGCTCGTCACGTGACTAGTGTCTAAATAGGTGTAGTTTTCCCCCGAGGATCAGCGGGAAGGATTACGGGTGTACACAGTTGAGCAGAAAGGCACACCGAATTCTCGTCACGGTTAGGCGCTTCCAAATAAAGACAGGCATTCCGTTTTTATTAATTTTCTTACAAAATATCTTCAAACTTCCTGTACGCTGTTGATAATTATCAAATATACATATGCTGTAATGCACCCATGCATATATAATGTACACTGCCTCTGTGTATAAAAGTATACGTCTCTGATAAAAGGGACGATGATTTGGAGTGCGGTCGCTGTAAGGCTCCAAGTTTATATATCTTATCTTTATCTTCGGCTATTGTTTCAATAAGATTGCTTGTTTACTTTCTGTTCTGATTATAACACAGATACACTAAAGTGTCATTCTGTATGTAAGGGAACTGGTAAGTTTTGCAATAATTCCGTTCCGGTAGGGCGATTCAAATGTATATGAATGAGCCAATACTACCCTGCTATTTGGTTTAAACTGTATTTATTCAAATAATGCAATACATGGCATGAAAAATACATATAATATAAGCAAACATGATGAGGAAACAAGTACGGTGTACTTTTGTAAATCCTTCTCATCTTTCTAACAAACTAGTGGCCTTATAGATTACTAACAATTGATAATACTACAGGTACATTTGTATTTCATTCATAATAAAACAGCACTGTTGAATTGGCACATATATAAGTAATGTATGTACACTTTTACATTCATTAACAGTTATTTTGTCGCATAGACGTGTCACTTTCCCTTTGATCTAGCTATGGTATAACCAACTTATTTTACACAGTTTTACTAATAACATATGGTATAAGTGATCACGAGGCTCCTCCCATATACTGAATACAATGGAATTCTCCATTCTCATTTGTCAGCCAATGAAAGTTTAAAGGGGCCAATTAGTGAATGTTAATAGGATATCGACACCTTGAGAAATAACTAAAAATACAAATAATGGAAGTTTAAACACATTTTATTCGGCAACATCGTTGCAAACAATTCAACAAATTTCACCTTTCCTGCAGGTTCTGCAGTCTATCTTTTATTCCGTTTTGTAACTTACAACTTTTTGCATGAACAAGCCCGTCTTATAATTAAAAGACAAAAGGCAATTGTGAAACACATTTCTGGCCATATTATATTATAAATATCGGCAAATAGGACCTTGTACTTTTCTGTAGGCATGTTAATAATCACATCAGTAGGCTTACTATTACTATTTTGACATTTAGCGCCCTCAATGTATACCATTTTCTCATTCCAACGGGATCCGGGAAGCGGCTTTTAACGGGTATTTACTTCTCCTCTGGCTCATCTTTAATCGCCGAGAGAGGCAGGAGTTAGGTCTTCTAACACTTTTCAGTGAGGGTTTCTCGGTCACTCTCAATGCGCGTCATTAACTGAGACACATGAATGTATCGTCCAGGTCGTCAAAGTAATCGTATGCCAAACTTGGCCTTGAGTTTGAGACGAAGTCCGACATGCTACAAACTTTTCTTTTGATAATGACCAAACTTTATCTTTTAAATTGTTACGTGACACTTTATGCGACAAGTCAGTTATATCATAGGCCTCGCAATATGTCAGTTATCGTACTCGAGGGGTGGAGCTTACTTACTTATATAAAATATCTTTTCGAGACTTTAAGGATGTAAACATTTAAATACGAAATAACAACCGAAAATCTGAGTAATAAAATTCAAGATTAAATTAGAGACAATTGAAACTATATACAGTATAATCTAATTAATTACTGCTCAACAGAAAATGTTGCCTTGGAATTAGTGAAAATTACTCTTAATTAGTTCTAAAATAATACAGTAAGATTCCATAACATTGCACCATTACTGTACGCTTTACATGGAGAACTATATTCAAATGTTAAAATCACCAAGTAAAATGAATTCACAGCCATGAAGAGCTAAGAGCTATTCAAATTATTATATAAGATTTGATTGGTGAGACGGACGGTGAAAATTCCTATTATAATTGGTTAAGTCTTAGATAGGAGTAACTCCATCCAGGCAAAGGATTTTTTATAAACCTTCAAGAACGTCAGGGCCAGTATTCATAAAGCCGTTCTCATGGTCAAGCATGGTTCTTTACTCGAACCAACTTTCTTGTTGCTCACTCAAATCATATCAACGGTCAAAAAGTCAAATGTAAACATCAAAACAGTGTATGTCTTCTAAATCTCTTCAAATTGTTTCCAAATCATCGACAGAATACGATTTGTTTCTTAATTTAGGACCAGACCGATATATCAGGTTTGAGTTCACGAATACAGGCCCAGGTCACCAGTGATGAATGACACCATACGAAGGGATTAACCTATTACTAGAAAATTCTTTCTGCTTTTATTGTCTACAAGAACTGCTGTAATCTTGATAGCCACGCTTATCTCTTTTTGAGTAGATGCACAGTATTAACAAATTATACAGTTCATCTCAAATTTTTGAAAATTCGTGTAATTAAGGGGTTTAACACAACTCCCCTTTTTTCAACAGATGTTTAGACCAATCTGGGTTTCCCCTTTTTGGCCCCTAGCGTGAACGTCACGTAAATACCACCCTTTATTTGTTCAGTTATGTGCACGTTGCGATGAATATCTGCTTGCTTAAATGTATAAAAGTGATTGTAAGCCTTTGCTTTCGTTTCACAATTATAACTTATACTATTATCCATATGTTGTAAAGCGCTTTAGAGTAATTTTACAAATTATATAGGGCGCTATATAAACGTTGTATATTATTGTATATTACATTATTATTTCCAGAATAACGAAACATTTGATGGTGCAGTATGATTCACTTTTGGCATGCTATATCTATTACCAAATGTTGTTTGTACAATCACATGTGTGACTTATATTTACCTTTCAATCCAAATTTCACATCAATTCATTACTGGCGGAAAGTCGAGTAAGGCTTGTCGGAGAGGGTTACCCCGACCGCTTACTTACCTTCTCCAACCTCTTTCAAATTTATACCATAAATATAATATACATTACCTTTAACCTTCCTGTGTGTTGTTATTTTTCTATCACACGAAATAATCTTCAATTTGTTGTTATCCCTTTAAAGTAGAACTATATATTTCCGACTACATGTAAATGCTATATTGCGATGGTCAGCCATAGAAATTACCTTTGTCTTTAATCTCTGTAAAGTATTGAAAAAATATAATTATCAAGTATCTCAACACGTTCCTTATTGACACATATTCTACATGTACACGTAATGGTTTTGCAATACAGTTTATTGTGTGTGATTGCTAATGTGACTTACTAAGTGTTAACGCGTATGGAGACAGTGAAAGTGGGAAAGAGAGTATACATACATTTATATGCCTGGTCTAGAAAAAAAATTGGCCAAAGACATTGAGTTGTATAATGTAATAAATAATTTCACAAACGTTTCCTTTTTTATTCGCGTGTAGTTTGTCATTGCATAAATGCACTTTATGTAAACATTTGAAAAGGGATATTCGTCTCGTGAATATTCCTTTTTTCAGAAAGGTTTGTCCCATGGTTGAGGGAAGGTGTTTAGCCCCGTACCATCTGTACCGGTCACATTCCGGTACTAAATTCAATATATATTTATATATATATCTACTTGATGTTTATGCCTATTATCATTGTTGACATTTAATTGTAAATGTATGACGGGAGAAGGCTGTGATAAATTGTAAAACCTTGAGCCCCCATCCCTTGTTCAATTTTATTGGCACCAAATATATGTTTAAAGCTAAATACATTTAAATTCTGAATATTGTCAAGTGTGCAATTAACTTCTGATGATGAATAATTACTGTTCAATAAGTTTGATTACGGACTTAGAAATCATATTACTTGGTTTCATAGTGCGGTAAGAAGTTGCAGTTGCCTAACGGCCCCTCTCTGGGGGCCCCTATGGAAACCGTTTCATCTCGCTCACACCACTTGTGTAATTACTGCCTAGTCAGGTGACGTTATCGGCGCTATTTTTAGCAGGGCTTTCCCGAACAATTCTAGTGGTCAAACTGGACATTTGGAACGGACTATGAATATGGGGATAGCGAGGTAACATAAGTGGAAGTGCATACAATACATACATTCATTAAAAAAATATGGCTCTTCACGTGATGTCCCTTTAAAATGATTTGTATCTATACAGTTATATATTATTATTTTTCAATTGTCCATATCTGAGGATTGCAACATGTTATGCATATGCACATACAATTGTTAATTGTTCATTAGAATTGTAAACATTTTTTTTACGGATGAAAAACAATTGTAAACATGATTATACAGAAGAGAATAAGGTTATTGGAATCGGTAAATGACATACAGGAAAATGTACACAGTATTATCTAATATTTGATTTACACAGACATTTGGAACGGACTATGAATATGGGGATAGCGAGGTAACATAAGTGGAAGTGCATACAATACATACATTCATTAAAAAAATATGGCTCTTCACGTGATGTCCCTTTAAAATGATTTGTATCTATACAGTTATATATTATTATTTTTCAATTGTCCATATCTGAGGATTGCAACATGTTATGCATATGCACATACAATTGTTAATTGTTCATTAGAATTGTAAACATTTTTTTTACGGATGAAAAACAATTGTAAACATGATTATACAGAAGAGAATAAGGTTATTGGAACCGGTAAATGACATACAGGAAAATGTACACAGTATAATCTAATATTTGATTTACACAGATATAGCTAAAGTGATTTATAACGTAACATTTCGACTTACAATTGTTATGTAAATATAAGTATAAATCCCCTCTCCAACACTTATATCTACTTCATACTAGTATTATCTAACCGCGCTGTCGTCTGTGGTCATGCATGGTGACCTGTTACTGTTTTATTAAAGGACATGCGCAGTCGCTTCTAACTCTGGTGACAGGCGTTGACTACAGAGCAGAAAGCAGAAGACGAAACTGTAAGTTTTATGGTTATTTCCATATTGTAAACATTTCAATACTTGGTAGTACTCTTATAAGTTCTAAATGCATTCACAGACACATTGAAATAATTCGTTTTTATGAATGTTGTTTAATTTGTACATTTCCTACTTTCGTTTTCGGTGCATATTATCATTAACAGTCAAGTGTGTTTCGTTCTACGTTTACACTAATTGTTTCCTTAATTGAATTAATATTAAAACAACGGGTGCCATAAATCGAACCATATTTATGCGAAACCATGTTGAAGGCAGTGGCTTTTGTTTAACTCGAGAATCTGTCTATTCAACAGTCAATGCTTAGCATGAGGTTTAAACAAGATCATATCACAGTCAATACGGTGTTGTCTCGCATGGTTTAGTGCAATGTGCTTCACTTATTCACCCCTGAAGACACATTTGAACGCTTCTAATTCAAAGGTTGGAATAGTTCATCATACAATTTCAGGGGTGAATAAGTTGATATTAACAGGCTGTATGCCACTCGAAATCACTTACAAGCTTGGCATCATATCACTTAAAATGCTATCTACAAATATTGTTATCTTTATATGATATCTTTTGTATTTTATTTCACATTCTCCTTTCGTCACGTGGTTTGTTTTTCTCTTCAGGAGTGACATTTGTACTGAAATTTCGACGCAGGATAAATACAATGTATCCTGTCGTTAACATGTCCTTGTAGAAATAACCACAAGGTGACTGTCAGCAGTAGATTAAGCAATTACCTGTGATGTTGTGTGCCACTGTGTGACACATACAGTTGTATAATGCAACACGGGTATGTATAGGTGTGTGTATAAAACACGTATAGTACACACACTATAACACTACCGTGCTAATTTGCAGTTCAGAGATGTTTAATAATACTAAATAAGTGTAATAATACTACATATGTGTGATAATACTACATATGTGTAATAATACTTCATATGTGTAATAATACTAAATATGTGTAATAATACTACATATGCGTAATAATACTACATATGTGTAATAATCCTACATATGTGTAATAATACTAATTAAGTGTAATAATACTACATATGTGTAGTAATACTAAATATGTGTAATAATACTACATATGCGTAATAATACTAAATATGTGTAATAATACTACATATGTGTAATAATACTAAATAAGTGTAATAATACTACATATGGCACCAGTACGGCATCAACGTCATTGGTCACCTCTATGCTACAGATCACAGTACAAGGTTTTAGGTCCATTTGTTCAAAGCATGGGAAGCTTATTGACAACTTTGTCACCAATTTGTATCAGTATGTATTCGAATTTACTAAATTCGAAACTAAATTTACTAAATTCGAAACAATAGAAGTTAGCATAGAAATTCAAAATGATAATTTTATGACAATAAACACGAACATATTTGTAAAATTTTAGATGATTCCAAACAATCACGTTTGCAAGGTTGTGTTTACGACTGGTTAAGATAACCAGGCAGCTTTGGACTACACGGCTTTTATATGTAGATCCGGGGCAATAGATAAGTCCTCAGTATTAAAAACAAATGGATACGATACCCTCTAAGGTCCGAGTCCTACATCCTGATTGGCCATCTTGATATTTACTGAATTTTTGAGTTCCTTGTCCATGTTGAACCTGCCCTTGTGTCTGTCCACGCGGGCTCATTGCGGATCCTCGTATGTATACTACCATACTGATAGATCATGTGTTATGACACATGTACGTGTGTGTGTGTGTGTGTGTGTGTGTGTGTGTGTGTGTGTGTGTGTNGGTGTGTGTGTAGGTATGTGTGTGTGTGCATGCTTGTATCTATAGTGGGCCCCAGTGGTCAGACTGTTCCCCACAATTTTGAAATGATTAACACACTCTTTAACCCATTGTAAGTACTTAGAAGAGGTTTCTGGGCAGTATGTGTGTGTGTGTGTGTGTGTGTGTGTGTGTGTATGTGTGTGTGTGTGTGTAGGTATGTGTGTGTGTGTATGCTTGTATCTATAGTGGGCCCCAATGGTCAGACTGATCCCCACAATTTTGAAATGATTAACACACTCTTAACCTATTGTAAGTACTTAGAAGAGGTTCCTGGGCAGTATGGGGGAGTATACATGCTTGCATGATATACACATGTACATGTAGACTAGTACTCATGTCCTTTACTACACTGTCACATTGTACTTATAATTAATGATAGTATACTTGTTCTTGCTAATGGCATTGAGCTTAACCCTGGTCCCATGCAAACTATAGAAATCACTTATCTCAATGTTAGGTCTGTAAGGATTCTGAGCTGCACTTCTAACACCAGATATTCTCAATAATGATGTTATGCTCAACTCATTTCCAAATGAAACATATAGAACAGATAGACAAAATAGGACGGGGGTGGTGTTTTGATATATTATAAAAATACTGTTCAGACTGGGAGAATATTAGACTTGGAGCATTTGGATAGAAGCACGTACTGGTTATATAGACCGGCATTTAATGTGGAATACTGGACACAACTTAATATTTTATGGGATAAATCAGTTGATACTTCACTTGACATAATCTTAACAGGCGACATACCTATTGACATGTTAAATCTACATCCTAACTCATATTTTAATAATAACCTTACTAAATATAATCTTAACAGTCCAATAGATTACCCGACAAGAATCACTCCTAACAGTGCAACCTCTATGGATATTGTCTTTACTAATAACACTAGAATCATTCAGAATACAAAAACAAGCCCTCAGTTGTGTAGTGACCACTCTCCTATACATATTACAGTCTCCTACTCTGTCTATAAACAAAGTTTTGTAAAAAGACGATATAAATGTATGATTATGCTGGTTTTGACAAAATCGATCACTGAGAGATATTGACTGGATGACACACACTCACAAAATAGTAGCCCAGATGAAATTAACAGAATACTTACCAATAATTCTTTCACAAATAATTACTATACGACCAGATGATTAACTTTGGGTAAATAATGAAATCCGATTAAAACTAATACAAACAAATAGGACCCATAGAAAAGGAAAATTAACTTATAGTACATACAACTGGAATTTAGAAGACACATTTTAACAGACTTGTTTTTTTATTGGACCCCAGTCATAGCCATGTAAGACTGCAGTTAACGCTGGAGCATAAGCATCACGGGGTCCTCATCTTAGTTGGTGCTACAATAATTTAATCTTGCTGGTAACAAGCATTTTCATTGGCTAAAAAAATTACGTTATCAGCCCATAACGTAAAAATGACGTCGCCGTTCGTAACGTCGCTTTTGATTGGCTGATACAGCGGCTTTCTAAGAGAAAAGAGTCCATCAATAAAAGTGGATTTTCATGGGGATTATGTATAGTAGATTAAGTTATAAGAATTACCTTGAATATATTTTCTATGTTATATGTGTTATGGAGCTATAACATAAAAAAGCCGGAGTGTACTTTCATCATAAACCGATTCGAGTTTTTTTTAGAGTAACACTCCGGTTTTTTTGTGTTATAGCTCCATAAAATAACAATATATATTCAAGTTAATCCTAAAATGTATAATTTCAATTGAAACACTACTGGCGTAACATTAACCCACATGTAAGTCTGGAAAATAATCTGTCAATCACGTTTTAAATATCAGCAGTGAACTATATTAAAGCAAATATTTATACGATTCCATGTAAAATAAGATTTTTTAACATGATATTTCATATTTGAAATATATTTACAGCGTAGGGCTTAAACATGAGCGAGGCAGCACATGCAAGGTCAGTGAAATGGACCTGTCAACACTGCACTTTGCAAAACGAGAACTTCCGGAAACGATGTGCAGCATGTCATCATGAACGAATTCATACTGAAATATTAATAGCGGAGAGAGGTCACACCGTTCGGGGATGGACGTGCACCAATTGTCACTATGACAACACCATGCATGTCCAATCATGTAACAACTGTCACAAACGAAATAAACCGTTAGCAAGATTAGTATCTCAGGAGGAATATTTCAACGTTGACAAATGGCATTGTAAATTTTGTGCTTTTATGAGCCCTGAAACTCTACATAAGTGTGAAATATGTGATAATCCGAGGGATTGGCAGGCGAGCAATAGTGGAACTCAGGAGGATGTTTCTGGAGTTGATTGCGGAAAGAAGAAAGAAAAGCATGATAAAATAACAGTCGATAGAGGAAACAATAAGGACAATGGCAAAGGGACAAATACAGATAAAGAAAAGCAAAAGAAGAATTCTGGACCAAGTGCCCACAAAGATCGCGCGAAACATGCAGATGCTGCGGAGACCGATGATCACTGGCTATGTAAAACTTGCACGTTTCTGAATAGTAAGTTAATGGAAAAAGAATGTGAAATGTGTGAAAGTGTTCGTCCATCGTCGGTTGTCCAGAAGCCACCTATCCCCCGATCGGCAAAGAGACAGCGACTTCAACAACAAGAGAGTGTACGGGTTGTAGACCTGCAAAGGAGAGAAGAAACTGATGCTTTGAAGAGATGGACAAGTATCACAAAGTACTGTAGAGAGGTGGGTATATTATGATATTTATTTGATAGAGGTTCCTGTGCAGAAATCTGTATAGATCGTTAGGGTGGTAAGTCATTTAATACTATCTCTAATTTCCTTTTATTGCTAAACATTGTTGTTACGCAGGTGAATCCAACAAATTTTCAAACAGAAAAAACAAAACACTGTGTGTTGTACCGACTTGTCCCACTACCAAGGCCCTACCCTGGAGACTCGCTCCTCTACAAAGGCCCTACCCTGGAGACTCGCTCCTCTACCAAGGCCCTACCCTGGAGACTCGCTACTAAATGAATCCAATCCCAACAAAGGCCAGCTGCGCACCTATATATATATCTATATAGATACCTTTAAAAAACATATTATGAATTATCATAGATAATCATTAAAACAATAACCCCAGACAATCAAGAAATATTCCACAGGAATGTAATCTTACAGTCAATTAACACCATAACTGGTAATTTGTTATCTTCAAAAAAATAACATTGTGATACTTGATTACGCTAAAATATCACTCCTATGAGTAGAAGTATATGCTTGTTAGACAGGCTCCGTTAGGACGATCCCACTAAGTTCCAGTTAACGGAGTTTTAATTTAGAAGTAAGTAGATAAATAACGACTTAATTACACGTTGTTTATTTATTTATTGGAAGAGAAATAATATGACCCTTTCATGCCAAGGGGTGTAGGATAGGGAAATTCCAACCGAGTGGTTTTCAAATTTGGTAAAACCCGAGGACTTTCCGAGGGTTTTGCCAAATTTGAAAACCCCGAGGGTGGAATTTTCCTATCCTACACCTTTGGGCACGAAAGAGTATTTTTCTCTCATTCTAACTATCAGAATAAGCTGAGAAACCGTGAAAATGCGTTTCGACTGAATTTAATTGTGCAAGATGGCAGCTAAACACTTCAATGAAAGATTGATAAGCGATGTAAGAAAATAAATAATGTGGGAAAGTATTTTTTTTTTAAATTCCGCAGGCAAACACGACAGAGTCACGCAGGCGTTGGTATATATAACGGGTATTCTGTTAAAATGCTGTTTTATTTAATCATTAGCACGGTTTACATGAAATATGAATTAGAAATAATCCCCTTTTAGCCAGAACCTGACAATGTGTCACGTTATGGCTTGTAATGCAGCCTCATTTAAGATTTTATTGTTCTTACTCTTACTTTTCGAAATACTTTAGTATCAAATTTGCATTCTTCGGATCTTCTTTACTTTCCGACTGTTGTCGCATCTATAGAAAATCTGTAGGTAAGGAAAACAGTGTCCGACTGTTCGGTTTTTGATTTTGGTAAACGGTTCGAGGTCTTCCGACCGAGTGACCCGTTATCCGGTTAAACGTTGACAACCCCTATATATATATATATATATATATATATATATATGTTAAATAGTATAACATGCCTGATACAGTTTATATAACAAATAACAATTTCAACAATTTCAGAGAAAAACCAAGTTTACTGATAAGAGTTTCCCTCATGACATAACATCGCTGTTTGTGAAACCAAGGAAAGAGGGAAGTAACCCACAATGGCGTCGTTGTAATGACATCTCTTCAGGCAATCCACATGAGAAATGGCTGGTTTATCAAGAGAAACCCGTCCCAGACGATATCGAGCAAGGCTATTTAGGCAACTGCTGGTAAGCTTTCCGTTAATACAACCGGAATGTTTTACAAACAATGTTCTGTTTTCGAAGTTAGCTATACTCGACCAATCTTGTGACGTCACAAGCAAAAGACTTTGGGAAACATCGTTTCTAGCGGGCTGTTCAGTTAAATACAAAAATACGAAAAAGATACGTATTCTTTTATTGTTTTGTGAAGATATGATATTCAGTTTTAATTAAGTTATGATCGTGTGATGAAATCACGAACCACACCCACCAGTCCAGGAACAATAGTCAAGAAGGAATTCAGTTATTTTCATATGATGTGAAGGTGGTATGCCATCTATACGAGCTTTTGAACTGCATGGTAAAGATGTACTTATTGTTAGCAGGATATACATGAAATGAGTCGAATAAAGTTGTTTTAGGAGACACAGTAGTCTAGTGGTAGGACGCCTGACTCATGAACGAAGGGTTGTGGGTTCGAATCACGTCACGGCACTTTGTTGCATCTTTGAGCAAGATACTTTACTCCGCTTGTTCCAGTCTACTCAGCTGTAAATGAGTACGTGGTTGGGTAGTGCTAGAATTGTAGAATGCTAACTGTGAGCGCCGAAATGGCAGCACGGCTGTATGCTCCCCAGCGAGTTGAGAAAGATATTGGCTGGTTGCAAAGGCCCTATTACCACGAATACTAATTTGTGAACCGCTTTGAGACGACCTACGAACTAGGTTGTGATAAAGCGGTATATAATAACCTCGAAATATTATTTTATCATTATCTGTTTAATTAGGTATCTCAGCGCTCTTGCAGTACTAGCGGAGCGAAAGGAGTTAATGGATAAAATCATACTCACCAAAACGTTTTGTCCGGAGGGTGCCTACCATGTACGGTTATGTAAAGATGGCTGCTGGAAAATAGTCCTGGTCGACGACGCGTTTCCATGTGATCCTAACAATCGTCTGTTGTACTCAAAGGTTAGGAACCACATCTCCACTTCTAACAAGTATTAGATACAACTGTAACCAAAAGGTTAAAAAAAATTGGGTACATTTTTATTTTGTGCGGCTTCTGTGATGATGTAATGCAAAAGAACTAAACTGCGACACAATTGCATTGATTTATAAACGCCTTTAAAATCTAGAAATTCGGCATTCAATCATTAATAATATAATGATGTTTTTTATTTTCTATAGACTCAAATACGTAATAAAGTCTTGACATACTTGTCCAGTAATCTTTGTTAATTGAACACAAACAGTGTAAACGAAAACAATTATGGGTTCCCCTGATCGAGAAAGCCGCCGCTAAGCTATTTGGTTGCTATGAGGCATTGACAGCAGGGTACACTGTTGAGGCTCTATCTCTTCTAACTGGTGAACCCTGCGAACGCATCAACTTTCAAGGTATAGTGAAAACATGTAAATTTGCGAAATTCTGATTATTAAATATATTATAATCTATTGTCATTCAGATGCAATGGCATATATACTACATTTCACCGTTTCATTCAGCCTTATTTTTTATATCATGTACGTTTTACAATGACTTATTGTTGTGATTTCACGACAAGCTATTTGTAAGCAAATATTTGAAATCATGAAGGGCGCAAGCAAATGTATTGCCGTATGTGTGATTACGCTGACACAAGTATATATCTTACATTCTTTGTTTTTCTTTTGCGTGGTTTGTATTTTGCACAATTGATATCTTGATGAATTTCAAGGACATCAACAATAATATTCCTTTTTATCGTTTTTGGTTTAAATAGAAACATGTATTACAGATTCAGAGGAGGGCGATAAAGAGACAGACAGGGTGCTCGTCTGGTCAAAGCTGGTGAATGCTAGGGAATCAAAGTAGGTATTGTGACTGAGCTTTATTCCATTGAAATAATGCTTTCTCCCATCCTCAATATCCAGGGGTTACTCTCACTTTCACTCCCTATACCCCTGGAATGTGTCATACCAAATTTTAAGGCATGCAGCTATAGCTATCTTATTGGTGTCAGGTAAATGAACCTGGCCAATCACTAGACTGGTACTTGTCCGTTGAACATAACGGAGGAGGGCGCCCGGCTTTAAAGCCAATAAGTATTATTGTTATGCGACCGCGAAATTCTTTTGATGCACATCAAAAGATCAAACTAGCATTCTCGTCTCATCCACAAGACGGTGCACGCTGATCCTTCGATTTTGCTATGACATATTCCAGGGGTGCAGAGAGCAAAAGTGAGCGTAACCCCTGGATAGCGAGGATGACTTTTTCTCGAGGTATTTAACTGCCAAATATACCCATACCTATCTTAAATAAAAATAACATCAGTATAACATAGGATTCCTTTTTTACGAGTTTAAACACCAGACAAGAAATTAGTTTTATTAAAATGATGACATCTTTCATGTAATACCAGTAAATGACATTTCATCAGACGAATATCTCTCTTTTGTAGATAATAACCATTATATTATGCTTTATTGGTTACAACATCCTTTTGGACACTATGTATAATTTTCTGTTAGTTAACATATTTATATATTTCCTGAGATTTAATATTTGCAATTTATCGTGGGTTTATATCTATAACAGCCGAAGTGTTTGCGCTAATAACTCATGCAAGTGATGTTTCATGTGTTCATAATATTATAAAAAACTTCCGGTTGGTTATTGTTTTACATTATAATGTGATTTAACACTTTCCGGAGATGATTGTTCCTCATACCAATTGATATATTCCTTTAAGTTACTTTTTGTGTGTTTTAAGGACATTTGTTATAGGTTCATTATTAAAGCTCCCCCTGGGGAAATAATTATATCTCCCCTTGGTATACAATCAAAAGTTTCACCGAGTTGATATTAATATGTTTTTTGGCAGTTTAACAGTTAACTTTCCCAAACGATTTAAATATAGTTATGTAATGATTAGCTGTTTTAGATACGTTTTAATAAGATAAAGAAAGGTATCATCTTTTGGAAAACAATTTAATAATGACTATACCTATGTTAATTGTCATTTTTTGATTAACCAAGTGTTTTTGGCAACTGGTCATTGAGGATCAAAACGATCATTTCGCATTTCGGTATGGGACGTTTTTGTATTTATTCGTTTCCTACTATGCATTTTGTGTTTAATTAACAAGATACCTCTATTATCAGGCATCATGTAACATTGAGCCGTTTTGGACGAAACAGCTGTATGATGCAGTGTAACTTATATTTGGCACACTGTCTCAATTCCCAAATTTTAAAGGCTCAATCACAAGTGTGTGTGTGTGTGTGTGGGTTACGTTCATGTTAGGAAAAATGAAGGTGTGCGCTTCTTAATCGTATTGCAGATATCTTTATAATGTGTACTGACATTTCTGATGGTTATTTTCGTAATTGAATATTGATCTAGATTTCTCATGGGCACGGCCTGTGGATCTGGTAAGAAGGAAGATGTTGATGAAGATCACTTTAAGAAGATGGGTCTCATAACATTTCACGCCTATTCACTGCTGGACGCACAGGATGTTCAGGGAAATCAGTAAGTTACTTTTGACTTTGATTGCATTGATTGAACGAGATCCTGCTACACGCTCGTTTAAGTCAATTTATGCAAAGTTTCACGAAGAACGGATAGTTTCCATCTATGACTGTTTGGCTACTTGGTTTGCTTGTGTTTTACGTCCTATTAACAGCAATGGTCATTCAAGGACGTGGCAGGTTTTGGTGTTGGAGGAAAGCCGGAGGACCTGGAGAAAAACACCGACCTGCGGACAGTAACTGGCGACTGCTCCACGTAGGTCTCGAACCCGCGACCAAGTCGTAGATGAAAATCTCTAACCGAATGTCAGACGCCTTTATCACTCGGCCACTACGGCCAGTTCTTGGTTTAGTCCTGTCATTCTACCCAAAACATAGCCTTTACGTCAAACTGGATATCAATATTATAACCGATAAAATCGACCAAAATCAATTTTTGGAAAAAAGCGCTTTCTCCCTCCATTGGAATAACGAATAAGGAAGCTGTGAAGTTTAACATTCAATTTCACGTTGGAAATCAATCTTTAAAGTTATAACAAGGCTAGTAAAGAACACGTTAGATTTTGAAAAACATTGCGTACTTATCATTTTGAATAAATGCTTTTCTTTTGTGCAAAAACCTTAAACCATAAGGAAGGCTGAGCACTTTTACAAGTTGAAGATATTGGTTTTTTTTGCCGTTTTAAAAATATCAATATTGTTTGATGAGTAATTGATTAAAATGATTATGATATCTGTATTTTATTTCATACAGGACTGAAATCGAAATTTAACGATAAATGTACATTTCGCAACCTGTATTTTGAAAAAGCACTGACCAAAGATTCAATGCATTGACTATTATTTGCTGTTGCCGCTAACAAGAAATATCAATTTTGATTAGCGACAAAAACAAATGTGTCCAAACTGTTATGCGAAAAAAATCGTCTCGTGCATTTTGACTTAATAGTTAAAAGTGAATGTCACCGATTCTTAAAAAAAGAAAAAAAAAGAAAAATGAAACAGATGCTATTGGTCGTTAAGTACAAATTTTACCGTCGTACGACTCTAAATTAAAAATTTGTTTTTAAAACAGGAGGCACAATTGGCTTGTATCGCTCACCTGGTATTAACCTCAAACGTGTTACCTTTAAAGAACACTATAATAAAGCTACATGCAAAATATTCAGTATTTATGACTATAAGTTATTCAAAAGTACATGTTAAAATATTTTAACGCAGTTGACCCCTGTGACGTGGAAAGTCTTACAAGGTCATTACGTTGAACGAACTTTATAGCCCTTCATCGCAGCATGAAAATTGTCAAATATAACCATCCTAGACCTTTTGTATATTGATATTAGGTAAGTTAAAAGTGTATGCACATTTGACCAAATGTGACCTTGAAAGTAGGACAATGTCATTCATTTGAATAAACTTGAAGGCCCGTCATCGTCGCTTGTTACTGGTAAAATATCATCAGCCTGGGCCTAAAGTTGCTGAAAACTATCCTATAATCAAATATACATTTAAGCAGTGAATTTGTTTTAAAAATGCAAGTTGCATAAGATGAAAAAACACTTTCGCCAAAACGCCCATCATTGTTAGAAACAAATACATAACTTTTGTTGCAATTAGATTAATGTTAAACCAAAGAATGACTGGACAAAAAATCATGATTGAACAGCTTTACCCAAGGCTAGACTTTGGATATTTGTTCTTCATCCTGAGCCATTTCAGATATGTTGTTCCACTAAAGTATTAACAGTGTCCGTCTGTTCACATTTTCGTTTTCAGATACTCTCTCAGAAACCAAAGGACTAATTGTTTCTAAATTTCACATAGTAAGTTTTTAAGTCATTGCTATGATATCCTTTTGAAATACTGGAACTGCATTAATCTATCGATATATAAACTCATTGTCAGCAGGATATCTTAAAAAAACCGAATTATCATGTATGATTAATTGATTCGTAAGGATTTGCTAAATAAATTTTATAAATCATCTTCTCATCCTTGTCATATATTCCACGATATGACATTCATGCCAATTGAGGATTTCTTACATAGCCTGACTGGTGTCAATAGAAGTCTTGTTGTATAGTCTAATTAAACACTTTATGTGCTTGCTGAGGTAGGAGTTTAAAAAACCCTCCATACATATTCTAAATGAATTGCATTTTCTGAATGATCTGTTGACTTGAGCATTCTATAGATTGGTGAGGGTACGAAACCCGTGGGGACGAGAATCGTGGAACGGGGACTGGTCTGACCAGTCTCAGAGATGGTCAAGCATCAACAGCTCCTCGAAAAAAGCACTCAACCCCACGCAAAACCAAAACGGAATATTCTGGATTTGCCTCGAGGAGTTTATGAAGTACGTTGTATGGAGAACGTGTAAATAATGAGAAGGCTATTCCTCCTCCTGGTAAAGTACTTAACAAATAGTTAAGGTTGCTGATTATTTGGTAATATTTCATTTTACTTTTCTCTGTAATCAAATTAAATTTACTGTCCTTGCAGATGTCTCTTTTTGCTGAGAGTAGATTTCTAATTTCTAGATAATAAAAAAGTTGAAAAAGATGTTCATGATGGTTTACGAAAAGTGTTCATAAAACTAAACAGCGTGAATAAAAATAGTATATCAGTTTATGTTAAATGAAAAATTACTATTGTTATAAGACAGGCGAGGAAAAAAATAAATGTTAAGTAATCCGAACCTCTTTTGGCAGATACTTTTACAGTGTTGACATCTGTAAGGTGAGGTCAGACTGGAACGAGGTTCGAATAAAAGGAGTCTTCCCTCCAAATGCCGGGAAACCATGGAAGTTTATCAACCTGGCCATAATGGAGAAAACACAGTTGGACATCGGACTTTTCCAGAAAAGTTACAGGTGGGATTTGGTTATTGAAGACCTCAGTAATTGTTATTTTATTGAAAAAGTACTATCAATAAAGTTTCATAAAATTGTTAAACATTTGACGTGGGTTTAATGTAGTGTTTTTTTAAAATCATTACTCACATTGAGAAGACGTGAAATACGTCATGGATTTACAATAGCAAGTAATTACTTTGTTTTAATTTCCGATACAAATGATTTCAATTTCATTTGACTGTAACGTTACTTGTTGAATCCTATTCCCTTTTCCAACTGTCTAACTCGCTGAATCCGATGCCCATTTTGTCGGTATGTAACAAAACTCGATAAATCGCCTTTACGCTCCATCTAACTTTTAATAAACTCTCAGATTATTATTCCCAACTCATCTGATTTGATATTGAACTGTCGGAATCTCGTTTAAATCTATATGACTGTTATTAAACGAACTCATTCTCGCTTTAAATCTATCTGTTTAGAATTTTGCTGAATCTTGGATTATGAAACGTTCTTTTTACACAACCATTAAGAGTTTCTATGTGACATTGGTGACTGTCACCTTCCTCAGACAAATGACCAGTGAAGCGTATACATACTGTCTGATGAAGGTAACAGTGTACATACCGTACTAGTCATCGAAACGTCACATAGAAACTCTTATTGGTTGTGTAGCAAGAACTTTCATAATTCACACTTACAGCCCTGAAAAAAGAGTTTCAAAAAAACTGATTCCTCTCCATCTAATTGACATTATACATGCTGAAATGTGTTCCGAATTCACCAGACTCTTTACAAAATGACTGAATTTTCTTTAAAACCCCTCAAATTTATATTATACTTGCTGAATCTTGCTCCAAATTGATTTAATTATTATTATTGAACTCGCGAAATCTTATTCATAATTTATATAATTGTTAACTAACTCGCACAATATTTTCCCCGATTCATGTGATTGTTACTAAACTCGCTGAATCTTATTCACTATCTATCTGATTGTTATAAAACTGGCTTAATCTCATTCACAATTAACGTGATTGTTTTTGGACTTCCTGATTCATAGTTAACGTGATTGTAATTGGACTTGCTGATTCACAGTTAACGTGATTGTTATTGGACTTGTTGATTCACAGTTAACGTTATTTCTGAATCTGGTTCCAAGCTAATCAATTTTCTTTTAATAAAACTCGCTTAATCTTTATAGAAACTAACTTTATTGTTATTAAATTTGCCTAAATCACAATTTTGTGATGATATGACGGTTTCCTCTCCGGCAGAACATCCTCGGCCGTCCTTAGCCGAGGAGAACTATAATGTCATATTATGATGGTTCTGTGTCTGGCAGATTATCCATGGATATAAATAACTTGTCGAGGAATTGTTAGCGTTCTTCACCTTATGTTTTCCATATAAATTGTAATTGGTGAAATATATATATTGGTTGAGGTATGTGTGGTGTCCTCAGGGTCTGTCCTATTTATCCGTCAATCGACTCTTTCTTTTGGTACTGTACCATGTAATCAATCATAAAATTGGACGAGGTCCTAAATCACAATCTTTTTCACAATTAAGTTAACTGTTATTAAACTTGCTTAATCGTGTTCACAATTAATCTGATTGTTAATTAACTCGCTTAATTTTATTCATAGTTAATCTGATTTTATCAAAATGTCTTTATTTTGCTTACATTAATCTGATTGTTAATTAACTCGCTTAATTTTATTCATAGTTAATCTGATTTTATCAAAATGTCTGTATTTTGCTTACATTAATCTGATTGCATTACACTGATTGATCTGGTAAACAATTCACATGTTTGTATTAATTTCGTTTTATATAAGCTGTTTTTAATACGAACTCGTTTGCGATCCTCTATTGATCTTTATATTTGTCCAGGGGACAAAAAGGACCGGAGAATACATTGGATCTGTTTATTGTCGTGATGGAGAACGATATGGGTGGTCCTAGACTGTTCAAGAGAGTGGTAGCAACGAGCCGAAGGTCCCAACACAGCTTCGTAGGGTGTGAGGTAGACCTACATCCTGGCTACTACACAATTGCATGTCTGGCATTCAAGCACTGGAAAACCGGTACATATAAAGTATAAGCATAAGTTCTTGTAGAGACAGGCACACGAGGACTAAATAAACGTTCAATCTATAATATTTATCATTATTAAAAGTTATTGTGGCATTTGCATGTGTCAGGATTTTATTTAATCACCTTAAGTCTCAAAACATAGAAACACATGTAGGATTTTGAATTGATAAGTACAGACAGTTTTTTTCACAATTGAGAAAAAAATAATGGTATCTGTACAGGGTCAGGATGATCAAATATCGCGCCGAAACGTTACAGCGATAGTGTCGGCACGGTCAACAGTCTGAGGAACATACCTCAACCAAAACAAATTTCTATACTAACATAATCAATAGAAATGTGAAGTTGAAAAGCGTTTATTGAAAAAAACGAAACGTACATAGAAATAGATTATACATTTAAAGGGAAACGTACATGTGCAACCCTCTATAACGTTACAACATTACAATGTCTTTACTACAAAAGATAATTATTCTTTAGCTAGTTTGCCATGCAATTTATTTTGAATATTAGAGCAGCAAGCGGCCAATGAAGGTAATGGAGCTTAGGACAATTTAACCGAATAAATGATCGTCTTTAAAAAAGAAGAGTTCATACAAACACAGTTTTCAAATAGTTTCGCCTGACACCAGTTGCTCAAAGGTTTGGAAACTTTGACCAATGGTTTGTGTCAATAACAATGACGTGTTTTCAAAGCATAAGCTATCCCAAACGGATAGCATAATCCCAAAAACATTCTATGGAAACAAACTGAGTTATCTCCCGTTCAACATTAAGCACTGACTACATTTCAAATTTTATGAAGAAAAACTGAAATCCGCTACGGTTCTTCGTTTGTTGCGTGGTTCGTCCTCCGTTGTATTTCTGTGAACAAATAGCATTATTGACCTGCTCTAAACTGCTGCGCCGAATTTATCAATAAAAACACTGATTTACCTGATTACTGTGTGAATGCAAACGATTTTTCGTCGTTCCGGAAAATTGAGCAATCATAATGTTTTCTGCTGCATGATCGTACAACAGGATATAAACTTATGTGAAGGTCCTTTCTTCCGTTTAAATGATTTCTGAGTATGAGTGTTGAAGAAAGCAAAATTCTGCTAAGTCGATTGTGATTCCCAGGATCTCTATTTTTCGACGTATCCTTTTTATGCTTTAACAAGGCGCCTCATTAGTTGATATTTCTAAGGATCTTTTGCAATTCTCTATTGTATGGCGCTTTATGACCTCATGACATTAATGGTCAGGTACGATATCAAACGTATATAATATATGTTATGATTGTTTTTCTGGGATCAGCTGACCACAGTGGACGTCCACCAATGGATGATGAGCACCTCAGCCGGGATTTCCTTCTGGCCATTCACAGCTCGCGGATGATACTTTCGGAGGAGATAGACAGCCAAATCCCTGACTATAATACCGCCCTCGCTGACGTCATCATCCAAACAGCGATTCAAAAAGGGAAACGAAATAAGGTCAGATCTTCTTCCCTCATTACCCTGATACTCAATTTTGTATGTACCACGCATCCAAACTCCTCAGATTCAGGGGGAGACGGTTGGCTGGTGCATTCCACTTTTTGATCACAAAAGAATGTTCATGTAGTGATTCTGTATCTGTATTATGTAGGAAATTTGTCAAATAATTGATTATTTTCATATTAACACTTTACTTCCTTCAGTTTTCACTGGGAACAGTTTAATAATCCGTTGCCGATTTTCTAACGTTTGGCCCGATATAACATTGCGTCCATCAGCCGTTTAGACTTAAGCAAATAAATACATAAAAATAGGAATAATATATGAAATACTGTTTATTGTATTTCATTATTATAGATTTAGGTTGGATTCGTACTGGCTGTTACTATAGCTGGATATCTTTTATTAAAAAAACAATGCAAATTTTAGCGGAGTATTCCACTGTTTTTTCTTGACAGTAAAAAACGTTTATCAACGAAATAGATCGGTATTGTCCTTTGACCTCTATATCAAAATGCTTTCTAACATTGTTCTGTTGTAGCTTGACAAAGATGAGTTTGTGAGGTATGAACTGTGGTGGCATGGCGTCATTATTGTCCTAGAAAACAAAAGTCCAAAGAATTATATCAGTTACAAGTGCGATACATCTAACAGCTCGTACCTGCTATCCACACGGGGCACCTTTGTTACTTTAGATTGTCTGCCACCCATGCACAGGTAAGACTAATGGACAGCACGTGAAAAATTGGTTAAACTTGATACAGAAATACCCCTTGTTACTTTTCTTCAAGTTATATAACTAGTTTCAGGCAACAAAATTCGTATATAAAACATTAAAAGAATTAAAGAAAATATCATGTATTAAATAATATTTCTCTGATTCTTGAACTAAAGTAAATTGTATTGGATTTCACGAAGTAAATAGGCAGTTTATGTTCAAGGCTCACGTTTAAGTTAATAACATTCCAAATACTGACATGGAAGAACCTTAAATAATATCAACGTCGTTTGTTTGAATTGATAAAGAATTTGTAATGTACAGATGCACTGCTTGAGCTCTGTTAAGAGGGATTAACTATTTGTTAATTTGAAAATATAACCCCTTTCGAACTTTAGGATATGTTTATGTTGGGTGAAATTTTAAAATGTTTAACAAGAGCTCTCTTTGTTGGGCTCCTCCTACCTATATTTTGTAAACAGGAACTTAAACAATAGCAAACCATCCTAACAGGTTGTGACTTACATACGTTCTGATGTTGTTTATTATTACAAAGCCTAAGAAAATATAATTGCAAAGAAAAATAACGTATATTTTGGAAATTGAATTTACCCTTCAATCAATCAAAGACATCGAATATGGTTGAAGTTGGATGACGAGGTTGACCTCAATCAATACCACTCCTTATATGATGACAACTGTAACTAATTAGTGTTTCTTGAATAACGTCCCGATTATGATTATTTAACGTTTGTATTACCTTGAAAATTCTTTCATTTACGTTTTGTGGCAAAAATAAAAATACCGCTCTGGATAAAATATCAGGATTATTCCTTAAATAGAAATGTATATGTCTGAATACTGACAATGCAGAAGTTCCTTTTCCCAGAATTGCTATGGACTATGAAATCAGTTCAGCAAGACGTCACACTGCTTTGTGACGTCATGTTTCATAGACACTGCTGGGCGGATTTGAGCCAATATTTTTATCACATATTTAACCAGAGAAAATATTATTAACACAATATATCCTTAATTCGAAATTTGGAAAATTTGTTTAATCAAATATTGCGTTGAGAACAAACTCACCCGATGGGCTTCAATCCTGATTCATTCATCAATCCTTATCACCCATCTCTGTTGACAGACAGGTGATAGCAGTATTAACACCACACGACGCAAAGATTGGATGGTCATCGTCTTGTCAGTTTACGTCCAGTGTGAGGACCAAACCTGGTCTGCACCCACAATTGGGTGGTCCGACGGGAAAGAATAACCTTCCAGAAATAACGTCACAATTAATGGCCCTACATGGACCTCGTCCAATTTTATGATTGATTACATGGTACAGTACCAAAAGAAAGAGTCGATTGACGTATAAATAGGACAGATCCTGAGGACAACACACATACCTCAGCCGATATATATATTTCACCAATTACAAGTTATATGAAAAACATAAGGTGACGAACGCTAACAATTCCTCGACAAGTTATTTATAACACCGTCATAATATGACACTATAGTTCTCCTCGGCTAAGGTAGGCCGAGAATGTTCTGCCAGAGAAGAAACCGTCATATCATCACATAAAGATCAGTTATGATAAGTTAACTGAGGGTGTTCTTTAAAAATGTAGCCGTTATATCATCACATAAAGTTCTGCTATGATGTGTTAACTGAAGGTGTTCTGTCGGAAATGTAGCCGTTATACCATCACATAAAGTTCTGCTATAATTTGTTAACTGAAGGTGTTCTGTCGGACATGTATTCGTTGTACCATCACATAAAGTCCTGCTATTATTGTTAACTGAAGGTGTTCTGTCGGACATGTAACCGTTATACCATCACATAAAGTTCTGCTATAATTTGTTAACTGAAGGTGTTCTGTCGGACATGTAACCGCTATACCATCACATAAAGTCCTGCTATTATTGTTAACTGAAGGTGTTCTATCGGACATGTAACCGTTATACCATCACATAAAGTTCTGCAATAATTTGTTAACTGAAGGTGTTCTGTAGGACATGTAACCGTTATACCATCACATTAAGTTCTGCTATAATTTGTTAACTGAAGGTGTTCTGTCGGAAATGTAGCCGTTATACCATCACATTAGCTAAGTAGTGTTGCCATGACGGTGTTATTTCTGAGAGGTCTGATGCTAGAGCCGGCTAGTTATTGGGAGTTTGTTAATCGAAGCTGTTACAAGCAGCGATTCACTAAACCCCTGCCAGCAGTAAATTCGTTAGTCTAGATTCTGAATAATTGATTATAATATTCTTGAAAATCTTATCTCTGATTACCTACATCTAAATCATTGCAAGATACTCATTTCAATGACTTACCTCCTCCTAGCAGCGTATTGGTGATTTAAATAACTTAACTGCTGCTAATCATTAAACAGCGGCAAATAACTAAACTGCTGCTACTAATTATACAGCGGCATATAACTAAACTTCTTTTAATAACTAAACTGCTGCTAATAATTATACAGCACAAATAACTAAACTTCTGTTAATAATTAAACAGCGGCAAATAACTAAACGTCTGCTAATAATTAAACAGCGGCAAATAACTAAACTTTTGTTAATAATTAAACAGCGGCTAATAACTAACCCCCAACTAATGATTATACAGCGGTACATAACTAAATTTCTGTTAATAACTGAACAGCTGCCAATAGCGGATTTGTTATTCAAGATTCTAAATAACTAATGCTAATCTCCTTAAAAAACTTATCTCTAACTCTCAACATGTTAATTATTGCAAGTTAATTTACATAAATATATGTATTATTGATACGAGATATATCAGGGCTAACTCAATAAAATCAATTATGATGAAATAGCCTAAAATCAATCTAAAACGACAGCAAATTCAACGAAGCAGGCAATGAGAGAGCCGCTAGGGTGCTAATTACAAAGATGGTTGTGTATTGTCCGAAATATTGCCGAAACAGTGCCAGACGGGGTTCTATGAGCCCGTAGACCCCTCCTAACCCAGAAGTATCTAATAATTTACATGGTGAAGTATTTCAGGGACATGCAAGTGATATTCTAGTATTCAATGTAATGCAAATTCTCGCGTTGTACTGCTGCAAATAACAAAGTCCACTTTATTTACAATCATATCTAGCTTGCAACCATATAGACGATTGTTACACAACGTTGTGTAGTATCAAAACTCTTGTCAGCTTTACCTCTGTTATAGATATGAACAAATTGATATTCTAAACTTTCAACAATTATTTGAAAAGTTCAATTTGCCTTGCATATAAAGAAAATACAGATAAATATCTCTATAATTGGCAGAAAATGGTGTAATTGTTATTAGACCGTGAATTTCTTAACAGACAACAATTATTGAAAATTCAGCTAATTGTGTTCTGCTTTTCTTAAATATTTACGTTTTGATAATTTTTATTTCAAATCTTATCGCTAATACCAACAATACTGGCAGTTTGTTGTTGCAGATGGTGAATACTATATTGTATAGCATTATTCTTATCATTGACATAAAGTTGACTAAACTTATTCAATAAAAGCGGTCCGAGAATGTCCTTTATCTCTTTCGTCCATATATCCTAATTACAAACAGGCGGCCATTTTTATGACAAAGCTTATGATTCCTAAATCATAAATACATTTATATATATGTATAGAAATATGTCTTCAAAGCTCACTGGAATTATCGTTTAAAAAAAGTTAAAATAAGACATTGGAAATAAGTGGAAAGACAAACCTGTTGAGAATGTCTACAATAGACTCGCTATACAACGCATCGCTGTTGCTAAAGATTGCCATCGGAATATCATGTGTTAGTTGGTTCTTCCACCTTTTTGGTTTTGCTACGCCCTATTGGTCGACAGCGCACTATTTTTCATTTTTTGGAATCGATGTTCATTTTGGTCTGTGGTACTACTGTACAGGAGGAGATTGTAAAAATTAGGGGAAAGTGCAAAGTAAGTGGTATTGCTTATTTATTTTGTACGTAAACGGAGTGTTTTCTCTCTATCAAACCGTTCCAAGGTTCGTAGAACTTGCCTGGGGTTCACAACCTGAAAATATATCTGTCGTATGACAAATAAATGCAAAATATAGAATCAAGATATATAAAATTCAAGTATTTGTATTAACAATACATTTTAAAAGCTATCTAATACAGTTTTATAACTATCCCTGACTTTAAAAAAGCTGTAATATAAGTTAAAAAATACCCCAACAAAACCAACAATATCACAACCTTATACTTATATGACATTATCGACATGTCAGTAGTAATACATGTAGATGGACCGGCGTTGTGTCATTAATTATTCACAAAATACCTCTTCATTATCCGCTGTCCAATTATATCCAAAACATCACTCGCCCAACAAAAATTACGAGGAATATTTCCAAATTATCCTACCTAACTCTTTTACCACTGAAGACGCATTTGCACGCTTCCAAATCAAAGGTTGGAATAGTTCATTTTGAAATTTCATGGGGGAATGAGTTAAATACCACTCGGCTAAAGAGAAAGATCGAGCTGAGCCAGATACTCTTCTAAATATCTGAATCCTGAATGACGAACTGTACGATGTCACTGGCTAATAGTACATTATTCGCGCCAGAATATCGTTTTGATCACTTCTGGAACATACACCGCTATCAAGGGTCACGTATATGATAACCAACGACGCCTCAATGAAGGTATTACAATGATGGTCAATAGAACTAGCCCCAATACTTCCTTAAATGTACATTATAATATCAAAAATCAATTAAATAGCTCAAGGGCGGCTGCATTCACCAAAGCGAACTTATTCGATGCTTATACAAGATAACATAAAAAGGTAGAAATAAAACAATCAAAATTACCTCCCTTTTTATATGTTTATCTTGAAATTGAGTAGTCTGAAAAAATTGAAAAAGTATTCCTATGGAAAAAGTAGGACTTTTGGCCTTGAACCAAAGTAAAGAATGAGATTTTAAACAAATACACTTTCATCTTTATAAACCATTCGTATCACTATATTACCGAAATTCATATTCACTGGTTTTCGTTAATTTTCGTATTTAAAGATTTTTCAATACATCATATGAAACAGAGCTAAGGTTTTCGCCATCCGTCCTTGAGGCAAAAGTAACTGTATCCCTTGCTGCTAGAAAAAAATAAGACAATCTAAATACAAACAAATAATAGAAATAAGAACTGTTTTGTATACATCATTTCTATCTTTTTAGATTTTGATAAATGAACACATATTTCGAGTGAGTGACGTTCATTAGATAAACGTTAAAAAATCCTGCCTAAGCATTAAATAAAGCTTCATACGAACAATTGTCAGCATTTTCGACTTTTCCGTTTTGCGTTGTAAATTATGTCTTCATAAAAAAAAATCAGTAAATGTCTAATGCAAGGGAGATTATTCGTACAACATGTTAGAAAAAATAATTGAAATCATAAATTTCCCGTCAAAAAATCATCAATTTGTCGTTGAAGGAATTTGATTAAATACTGAACATAGCGTCCTAATTTATGATAAAACTTGAATAAAAAATGAAACAAACAGACAAATCTGCTCATATTAACTTATCTGCGCCAGATATGTGTCTGGCGGAGCAGAGTTTGGGCCGACTCATCATGCAATAGAATATGGAACATGTAATGATTTATGATGAAAAAGGAACAAATGGGAACATTAAGAAGGGAGAAAACTCAAATTCTGCCTTCGGCTAACGCAAGCCGAGGGCCTTATTATTTTCAAAATAATTCTTTTATATTTCTTATATAGTTTTTATGTTATGTAATTAGTTTTTTTTCTGTGTCTCGATAAATGAGCGGATTGCTCCGAAAAATTGACAACATCATATTGTCCACACTGTAAGAATGACTTCCTTGCCCCATGTGTATATAGGTAAGACATAGGTTTGTTTTAATCTGCATGCGTAAGATTGAGAAGAAAACGTTTTTGACATTTGTACTATTATATTTCTCCCGTTATTTCTCACGTTAGTTGTGTGAAGTGACGACCTATTCAAGCGACAGATTCCAAAGGAAGGAACTATAATACTTTTAATCATATTTTTAAGAAGCAAACAAAGTTGTGGAAGAATAATACATTCTGACAAGGATTTAAATGGTATAAAATGCTTCTGAATGAACTTTGATCCGTGGTAAAGCAATATATTGACTTATTGTTTGACGTACGTTTTATTTACGTACATTATTTCCGGTTGTTGAAGCGATTAAATGTGCATTAATGAATACATTTGCATATCAAGAGCTCATTATCTGAAGTAGTGCCAATAGCTGGCGGCGACACGCCTTATCCCAACACGTGTGGGGTAAACTATTAATTTTCTATAGCAGTATAGGACTATTTACACTGCTGTGACATATCAAAAGTGCTGTCATGTACATTGTATACTATGATATGATTTTGAGTATGTCCCGTTTATACACTTTTTCTTTTGTTTGACGCACACCTGATTGACCACTACAGTGTACCTAAGAGTAAATATAAACTCTTGCAAATATTGAATATTGTGAATCAGTCTTGGCAACAACATGCAATCGTACCAGGTCAAAACAAGATTGTATTCTAACATACAGTTTAGATTTGTGTACTTATGTTAATGCATGTATGTGTACTTATGTAAACAATCAATTTATTGATGTGACGGAGTAAAAATAAAAGTCACCTGTGCTGACTTTTGCATGGGTAAGTCATAAAGGACAAACCAACTTACAAACAGGTACATAATTAACCATACACCTGTGACGCTAGCGTATGACTTGGAAAGTGTTTTACAAAGTACAGTTCTAGCGATAGTCTTATCAAAATGCAACGGTATCATTTGGACGATAAGTTAATGAGGAGGAAGTTTTTAATATATACATAGGAAACTGAAACTGTAATATTGATGATAAACATTCCGCGAAAGCTCAGATGGTTATTAAATGTTACTACATGGTACTGCATGGTACTGCAACTGCATGGTACTGCATGATGCTGCATGGTAGAACATAGCAATACATGGTACTACGTGGTGATATATAGTTCCTCATTGTAGTACATGGTACTGCATGGTACTGCATGCTAGAACATGGTAGTATATGGTACTACGTGGTGCTATATGGTACTGTATGATTCTTCATCGTACTTCAAGTACTGCATGGTATTTGCATAGTATAATTGATGTGACGGAGTCAAATTAAATCCACGTGTGTTGAACTCTGCATGGGAAAGACATATTGTACAATCCAACTTACAAACAGGTACATAATTAACCCTACACCTGTAACGCTAGCGTATGAATAGAAAATGTTATACCATGTACAGTACTAACGATAGTATAATCAAAATTCAACGGTATCATTTGGACGATAAGTTATTGAGGAAGTGTTTGATAGTTATACATGGGGAACTGAAACTATAATTGTGATGATAAACAATCCGAAAAAGCTCAGATGCTATAGAATGTGTTTACATGGTACTGCATGGTACTACGGGGTGCCACATGGTACTGCATGGTACTGAACTGCATGGTACTACATGATACTACATGATACTACATTGTACTACATGATAATGCATGGTACCTCGTGGTACAACATGGTACTGTATGGTACTATATGGTACCACATAGTGATACCTGTTAGCTGCTTTACAAATCATTTCACTGACATCCACTGAGAGTCACTCCCTATATTTACACAGTATAGGGAAAGAGTGGCGATTGAAGCAACCGGATTTTGCTTCTGTTATCGGAAGAGGGCGGTTATTTCCTATTTCCTATTTCGTATCTGTTTTAACTGAAATGATAGATATGACTTTTCCATACGCGATATCGTGATCAATTTCAGGAATCATTTCCGCCTATCCGAGGTTTAAATCTGAAAAAAATTGTGTAATTTGACTTTGGGAAACAGATAGTGTTTCACATAAAGCGTATGGTGATCAGTAGAAGGGGAACACGTGCTGTGCGTTCAAAATAAGGTCTTCTACAACGTTAAATCCTTTTGTTTTGGAAATTATGTACCTTAAATTATTTTTTGCGACTTTTCGACTCCTTTTTACTAAAAAACACGACCCTATCCCTATCAACGGCAGTTTAGAGAAGAGAAAGCTTATTATGTTAGAAACCAAAGTAAAAATAATGCAAAATCAAGTGTGTTTTTTTTCAGATCTGCACACGCCCTTTTTGGTTTTTCTCAGATATGCCTTTAGTGTTACGCTAATAATAAAAAATGTTAGAAGATGGATCTGTATGCTCAGTATATGTGATGCCGTACAGTTTATAAATATATGAAATTCGTAAGTTTAACTCGTTGATGAGGCTGTAGTCTTCTTTTTTTTTCGACTGCGTGGAGGTGGTATAATGATACTTATGTCGCAGATAAGGCTTTACGCTCCAAATTGTAGATCAGATAGCAGATGTTATAGAATGTGTTTACATGGTACTGCATGATACTACGTGGTGCCACATGGTACTGCATGGCACTGAATTGCATGCTTCCTCGTATTAAAACACGATACTACGTGATACTGCATGGTACTACATGATACTACATGAAACTACGTGATACTACATGATACTACGTGATACTACATGGTATTACATGTAGTTTTACAAATCATTTTACTGATATCCACTTAGAGACACTCCCTATATTTACATAGTACAGGGAAAGAGAGGCGATTGAAGCGGACGGATTTTGCTTCTGTTATCGGAAGAGGGCGCTTAATTCCTGTTTCCTTTTTAGTATATGTTCTAACTGAAATGATAGATATGACTTTTCCATACGCAATGTCGTGATCAATTTCAGGAATTATTTCCGCATATCAAAAATATAAATCTGTAAAAATGTGTACTTTGACCTCGGGAAACAGATGGTGTTTCGCATACAGCAGATGGTGATAAGTCGAATGGGCACATATGCTATGCGTTCAGAATAAGGTCTTTTCTTCAACGTTAAATATATTTATTTAAATAATATACATTAAATTAATTTTTGCGATTTTCGACCCCCTTTTACTCAAAAAACGACACTGTCCCTATCAACGATAAATTGGAGAAGAGAAAGCTTATTATGTTAGAAACCGAAGCAAAAATAATTCAAAATCAAGTGTATTTTTCAGATCAGCACACGTCCTTTTTGTTTTTTCTCAGATATGCCTGAAGTGTTAACGCTAATAAAAATAAAATGTTAGAAGATGGAGCTGTATGCTCAGTATTTCTAATGCCGCACATTCTATAAAGATATGAAATTCGTACATGAGGTTATACGGTCGGTATTTGTGGCGGTGCAGATACTAAAATAATAATTTCATAACACGTAAAGTCTTCTTATTTCTGGATGTGTAGATGGGATAATGATATTTTGTTGTTGATGAGGCTGTACACTCCAAATTGTATGCAGTAGAGATGCTTAATAACAATAAGTTCGTAGAGAAGGCTGTAGGCTCCTTATTTGTGGCGGTATAGAAAGTTATATACAACTCGTTCTTGAGGTTGTAGGCTCCTTTTTTTGGCGTTGTAATAGATATTATGATATTCAAATTGTTGATGATGTTTACGCTCCTATTCGTGGTATTGTATATGTTATGATGATATTGAACTCACAAGTGAGGTTTTAGACTCCTTATTTGTGACTGTAAAGATGCTATAATTGTAACGGAAATTAGGTTGCGTGATTCATATTCGTAACAATGTTGAAAATAATATTTAACTCGTACATGACGTTGTAGGCTCCAAATTTGCGGCTTTGAAGATGCTTTAATGAAATTTAAGTGGTAGAAGAGGTTGTGTTCTCCTTATTTGTGGCGTTGTAGATGCTGGAGATAATATGTATATTAAACTTGACCTATATAAACTACTGTTTATTTGATGTACATTATGCATACACTATATCTTATATTACAATCTGAAGCTTATTATCCCCAATGTAACATCTTTCCGGTTCAGTGTTTCGCTTGAACGCCGTCCGCCGGAGATAAACACTTCTCCCACTTCAAGACACTCATATCAACGTGCTTTCTGGTGATTCACATATCAAGTTTCTGTGTTGTTTCAATGGCATAAGAACTCAGGTTATAAGGGCTTTCTCAAGTGAATTTGATGATTGAGAAGCTCTAAAGGATAATCAAGCATGTGGTTTGTACATAGTATGACAAAAAATGTAATAAATAGTTTGAATTTGAAAAAGCATGCAATAGATGAACATCACCATAACCTGCGTTTGTGTCATTTTACGTATAGGCCATTTGTAAATAAGAGTAACCACTGATTATCTGTGTATATAGTACCGGTGTGTAGTAAACAGCAAATTACTTGGCTACTAGATAACTGTTGACTTAGCGTGTTATTTGCACGTCATTGCCTTCAAATATGATTTCGCAATAGAGCGAGCGTCAACAATTACATGACTGAATATAAGACTTGTATCAGATGCTGGAAAGTTATTATTTTCTCGATAACCAAATTGTTTATCATATAATATACATTCATATTTGTCAAGTCATATTTTGTGTGAATGGAAATATATGTAAAATTCTTTTCTAAAGCACCTGTTGAACAGAAATCGATCAGTAAATTATCTTAGATAGAACATCAATGAGCCAGCTGACTGCCATTGTCGAAATGGCATTTAAGGAATAAATTAAACGTACACGTACGCCAGAAAGTTTTTGTAGCATATAATTGTAGTTCATCCATATAACGTTGTTCAACTACAACGCATTTGATTGGATTGCGTTGAACAGAAGACTGTACAATAAACCGTCGTTTTTCCTATCGCGCTGTCGTTTCCACGATCATATCCCCCTTTTCTACCGTTAATTTGTTGTTTTTATTATGGTATAAGTAACAATGTGTTGACATTGTTTGGAAGAAATTATGATTCTTTGTTAACCTTAAGCGTTTTATTCCCCCTTTATCCTAGTAGCGAGTGTACAAATATTCAAATATTCCCAAAACAAATATATAACTATGTGAATGTGTCATAGATGAGAGATATTACTGCCTAGCAATAATAGTTTGTTTCTATTGTTGATTTTTATTCCAAGACATGGCTAAATAAAAATTGCATGTGTAAATCATAGGCATAGCTAACAAAAGAAGAAAACGTGGTACATGGTGTAGATCATATCTTAAATAATATATGGTGAATTGAATAGCACACAAACAACGTATGTCATTACAGAATATGAACATATTGCGCCAAGTTTTACGTTAAGGTGTGATACAGATCGAGCTATATAGAAATATGTCCCGGGATACCCTTTCTAGGGAATTAAAATACAAATAAAATATCTGGAAAATATTGAATATTGTACATCAATCTTATCAACATCTTGTAATAGTACCAGGTCAAAAAGGATGTTATTTTTTAAAACATCTATAATTTTGGACTTACGTGATAAACTATTAATATGTGTACTTATGCTATCAAACAACTGATTGATGTGACGGAGTCAAATTAAATCCACCCGTTGACCTCTGCATGGGAAAGACATAAAGGACAATCCAACTTACAACCAGGTACATAATTAACCCTACACCTGTAACGCTAGCGTATGACTTAGAAAATGTTATACCATGTACAGTACTAACGATAGTATACTCAAAATTCAACGGTATCATTAAGACGATAAGTTTTGAGGAGGAAGTGTTTGATAGTTATACATGGGGAACTGAAACTATAATTGTGATGATAAACAATCCGAAAAAGCTCAGATGTTATAGAATGTGTTTACATGGTACTGCATGGTACTACGTGGTGCCAATTGGTACTGCATGGTACTGAACTGCAAGGTTCTTCGTGGTACAACACGATACTACGTCATACTGCATGGTACTACATGGTACTACATGATACTACATTGTACTACATGATAATGCATGGTACTTCGTGGTAAAACATGGTACTGTATGGTACTACATGGTACCACATAGTGATACCTGGTAGCTTTACAAGTCATTTCACTGACATCCACTGAGAGTCACTCCCTATATTTACACAGTACTGGGAAAGAGTGGCGATTGAAGCAACCGGATTTTGCTTCTGTTATCGGAAGAGGGCGGTTATTTCCTATTTCCTATTTCGTATCTGTTTTAACTGAAATGATAGATATGACTTTTCCATACGCGATATCGTGATCAATTTCAGGAAATATTTCCGCATATCCGAGGTTTAAATCTGAAAAAATTGTGAAATTTGACTTTGGGAAACAGATAGTGTTTCACATATAGCGTATGGTGATCAGTAGAATGGAAACACATGCTGTGCGTTCAAAATAAGGTCTTCTCTACAACGTTATATACTTCTTTTTTGGAAATTATGTACCTTAAATTAATTTTTGCGACTTTTCGACTCATTTTTACTAAAAAAACGACCCTATCCCTATCAACGGCAGTTTAGAGAAGAGAAACCTAATCATGTTAGAAACCAAAGCAAAATTAATGCAAAATCAAATGTGTTTTTTTTCTGATCTGCACACGCCCTTTTTGGTTTTTCTCAGATATGCCTTAAGTGTTACGCTAATAAAAAAATTGTTAGAAGATGGATCTGTATGCTCAGTTTATGTGATGCCATACAGTTTATAAATATATGAAATTCGTACATGAGGTTATACGTTCAGTACTTGTGGCGTTGTAGATGCTAAATGAAGTTTAACTCGTTGATGGGGCTGTAGTCTTCTTTTTATCGACTGCGTAGAGGTATAATGATATCTATGTCGCAGATAAGGCTTTACGCTCCAAATTGCAGGCAGTGGAAATGCTTAATAATAATAAACTCGTAGAGAAGGCTGTAGGCTCCTTATTTGTGGCAGTATAGAAAGGTATCTACAACTCGTTCTTGATGTTGTAGGCTTCTTTTTGTGGCATTGTAAAAGTTATAATGATATCAACTTGTTGATGAGGTTTTACGCTCCTTATTCGTGGTATTGTATATGCTATGATGATATTAAACTAATAAATGAGATTGAAAACTCCTTAAATATGAGGTTGTAGATACTACAGTGATATTCAACCTGTTGATGAGGGTTTACGCTCCTTATTTATGGCATTGTGTATGTTATGATGATATTCTGAACAAAAAAAGAAACGCACAATTAAATTATGCAATCAATAGCCTATGATATTTTGGGAAATTTGTACAAACTTTTATATCAATAGGAAGGGACAAGTCTACTCTTTACAATACTGTAGAAGAAAAGTGTGTGTGACGTCACTCGTGTCATCAGTAGTTACTCAAAGTGGGATACACGCAAAAACAAAATGACACTTCAGTACCTGGTGTGGGCACCTTGTGCACGCATCCCTGCACGGATCCTCCTATACATTGAATTCATGAGAACATTTATTCGTCTTAAGGGATTGTTGTTCCATTCTTGTGTTAATGCTGCGATCAACTTGGGGCGCGGTTAGTTTTTTTTTGACGTTTCCTAATACGCCTGTCCAGCTCATCCCACAGATGCTCAATGGGAGACATGTCGGGGCTATATGGGGGTCATTCAAGAGGCTGAACGTTGTTTGCCGTGAGAAAATCACGACAGACTCTGGCAACATGCGGTCGAGCATTGTCTTGCTGGAAAATTACGTTATGATGTCTGAGAAGTGGAAAGACATGTGGATGGAGGATCTGGTCTCTGTATCGGACGGCATTGAGGTTTTGATCCATGACCACTAAGGGGGATTTTACTCCATGGGAGATGCCTCCCCAAACCATTACAGAAGCCCCACCGAATCTATAGCGTTCAACCACGCATGCGTCGGCGAAACGCTCACCGCGTCTGCGATATACCCTTTTTCTTTCGTCTGAGCGATACAGATAGAATCTAGACTCGTCGGTGAACATCACACGTCTCCATCGCATCCAAAACCTATTCGGGACATGTCTGCGCATCCAGTCAAGACGCACTTGCCGCCTCCGTGGTGTCAGAGGTGACCCGACATAAGGTCGGCGCGTAATGATTCTCTCTGCACGCAAGTGGTTCCTGGCAGTTTGAGGACTAATGGGTCTGCCATGAGTACCTAAGGTATGCGACGCAGTCTCTACAGCAGTCTTGAATCTGTTGCTCAAGTGTGACAATCGAATCGCCCTGTCTTGTCGTGCGGTCGTTACACGCGGATGACCGCTCCTTGGACGATCGGAAACTAACCCAGTAGCACGGAAACGTGTACAGAGACGGTTAATTGTACACGGGCCAACACCAAACTGCCGTGCGACAGCAGTTTGGCTATGACCATCCATCAACATCGCAATTCCTCTACCCCTCTGAATTTGCGTTAAGCGTGGCATCTCAGTCAATGGTGAAATCAAAATGCCAACGTGGAAAATTAATGTGGCTGAACTTAGAGTATCCGTTGAGATTATTTGTTTGAAAAATTCCGGCTTGGCTTCATCACGCCGCGTGATTTGGACTAAAGAAGCTCACAAAGTCACACAAGGGAGATCGTTCTTGATGTAATACCTGACTAAATATTCCATTATTTCCTTACAGCTAAGGTGTACTGCAGGGGGAACTTGCGTTTCTTTTTTTGTTCAGTATATTAAACTAATACATGGGGTTGTAGACTCCGTATTTGTGACGTTGTATATTGAGTTTCCATTTGTTGATGATGTTTTACACTCCTTAATTGTGACATTGTACATGTTATTATGATATTGAACTCACAAGTAAGGTTTTAGACTCCTTATTGGTAACTGTAAAGATGCTATAATTATAGCGGAGATTAGGTTGCGTGATTCATATTCGTAACAATGTTGAAAATACTATTTAACTCGTACTTGAGGTTGTAGGCTCCAAATTATGGATTTGAAGATGCTTTAATGATATTAAAGTCGTAGAAGAGGTTGTGTGCTCCTTATTTGTGGCGTTGTAGATGCTGGAGTTAATATGTATATTTCACTTGACCTATATAAACTACTGTTGGTTTGATATACATTCTGCATATACTATATCTTAGATTACAATCTGAAACTTAATATCCCCAATGTTACGTCTGTCCGTGTTTCACTTGAACGCCGTCCGCCGGAGATAAACACTTCTCCCACTTCAAGACAATTATATGAATGCAGGTTATAAGGGCTTTCTCAAGTGAATTCGATGATTGAGAAAGTCTAAAGGATAATAAAGCATGTGGTTTGTACATAGTATGAAAAAACATGTAATAAATAGTTTGAATTTGAAAAAACATGCGATAGATGAATATCAACTTAACCTGCGTTTGTTTTATTTCACGTATAGGCCATTTGTCACTAAGATTAACAGATGATTATCTATACGTATACAGCAAATGCATAGGCTTTGAGAGAGCTGGTGACCTTACGTGTTATTTACAAATCATGACCTTCAAATATGATGTAACAATAGAATGTCAACAATTATGTAACTGAATATAAGATTTGTTTCAGATGTAGGAAAGTTATTTTTGTTGTTAAAGGCAAGGCTGTGAAATAGAACGTCGCTTTTCCTCCCGCACTCTCGTTTCCACGATCATATCCCCCTTTTCTACCGTTGATTTGTTGTTTTTATTACAGTATAGTTAACAATATGTTGCCATTGTTTTGAGGAAATATGATTATTTGTTAACCTTAGTTTTTTTTGTTATCCTGCGCCCTAGCTAGCATTGAGTTTTAACAAATATTCAAATCTCCGCTATACAAATATAGAAACATGTAAATTTATCATAGAGGAGAGATATTTATTGTTAAATATCTTTTCCAAATTGTTTAGCAATATTATTTTGATTTTACTGTTTTATTTTTTACTCAAGAAAAAGAACATTTAAAAACATAAGCATATCTCACAAAAGAAGAAAAACGTAATTCATGGTGTAGATTATATCGTAAATATTATATCGTGATAAAAAAAGAATATTATTTTTTAAGACATCTTTCATTCGAAGAGCTATGTGAAAACTTATAAATATGTGAACTTATGTTAACAATCAACTAATTAATGTGACGGATTTAAATCAAAATCACCTGTGTTGACTTCTGCATTGGAAAGTCATTTATCATATATATACTACTTTATACCACCTACCGGTAGCATAATCATTATCATTGAGTGTGAGTATGAGAAGTTGAGAACCACTTGAGAACAACTTGAGAAGAACTTGAAAACGGATTTTTCCAATTTCCCAGCACTCGGGATCATATTTTCTCAAAAAAGAACGTCTGCTCGCGCCAGATGATGTCTGAAACCGGAAATAGTGTTCACACAAAAGTGATCCGTGTAAGAAAATAGTCCATCATACACATTTCAATACAAAGTTACGAAAACATATTGTGAGAATACCAACAACATTTTAGGTGTAAATGTGCATATGGAAAAGCCAATGACGACAGGATTGTTCTACATAGTTTTAAGGTTCATTGTATTCCTCCGCGCAAAACTATTTGTTTACGTTTTTCAAAGGCGATCGTTGAGCATTGAGCTACAAAGTCATTGGGAAAACATGGTGTTTAGTTGATTTTTGTTTTAAATGGTAAAAGATGTAAGGTAGTAGTATATAGATGATTAATAGTTTATTATACAATATTTTCAGTGTTTGTCATTCGAACAACTTTCTAATCGCTCGCACGTTGATAAAAGTGCGGTGGCCTCGCGATTTTATCCACGTGCTCACGATGAGAAAATTGTTCTCACGATAAACCCTGAAAATCCAGTTTGATGATCTATAAATAGGACTATTAAACTCATGGTACGTAATTTCCCTCTTTCTGGGGTATTAAAATAACTCAGGTGTAACTTAGGGGTATCTGGAGTGAGAGAAAAATACTCTTATATACCCAAGGGTGTAGGATAGGGAATTTTCGCCCGAGGGGTTTCTTACACCCCTTCCTTACCATGGACAGCTCTTTCTTACACACATGGAAACGAGAAGAAAATGTTTAATTCCACTTTTATAGAAATAGGCTCATGTTACATTTATCCACAAAAATCCGAAAGTTTTATTTGATATTGTACAAGAAATATGTTCAATAGAGCTAGGCAACAGGGACTATTATGAGAACTCTTTTATATTGGAATTTATGGTGAATTGTTACGAGGGTTTATAAATAATATTTACATAAACGGGAAAAAAAGATTTGTTTTCAATAGGTAAAACTAAATGCTGCAGTACCCTACGGTGTGAATGTAGGTCCACCTCTATTAAAATAATGTTCACTTCAAAAATGTAATATTTAATTTATTCACTAATGTTACGTCATAAGTACGACATTTTGACCCAAACGATTATAGCTGAAGTATTAAATGGAGAAAAAAATTCAATGTATTGAAGTCACAAATTAACAGATTGTGAAAATGCGCCCCTTGATATTTTGAGAAAAAATGCAAGTCATTTAAAAAAACTTGTATTCTCATGTTCTGATCACGTGATTGTGCTACCTGTTTGAGATATCTATAATGATGTTGTATACAAAATTCAAGAAACACCTAATCAGAACAAAAGATGTTTCCCGTTCATTAGAGCAGACTTTTAGATGTATGACTACACATATTCCAGGGGTTTGTATTTATTCCTATCAAGGTGGAGACATGCGATAGCTGAAGTGTTATCCTCGATACTATATGAGCTTCGCTTACTTTCCCTTCTCTGCACCCCTGGACTATGTCATAGCAAAATTGGAGGCACGCTGCTAGATATTTGACTGATCTCAGGTAAAAAAACCCACCGACCTATCGCTATGCCAGTACCTGTCCTCTGAAGAATACAAGGTAGCGACATCCGACTTCAAAGCCAGTCAATTTTTACCGTTAACCGACTTAAAGATTCCTTTGATGTAGATAACAGAATTAGACTAGTCTTACTGTCTCATTTTCAAGGTGCCGAACACTTAGCTTTTGATTTTGTCATGACATGTTCCAGGGGTGCAGAGAGCTAGAGTGAGCATAATCCCTTGAGTATCGAGGATGCTGAACGCTTTAACGTAGGGTACTATATTTGGGATGTGATCGGTCACACTTGAGTGATCACATTATACCTATAGTTATCGACAGTGTAACGCCAGTCAGTAACGGGCTTCCGGATAGGCAGCATCAAAACAAATTTGACGGATTCATATACAAGAATACATCATGGCAATAATGGACACTACAAAAATATTCAAAATATCAATAGGATGTGCTTTAGCTGGATGTATATTTCACCTGGTCGGTCTAGCTACACCTATTTGGACCTCGCAATGGTCGGATCTACTGCTTTCTCTTACGGGTCCTCACTCCGGTTTGTTCACAAAATGCGGGATATTTTTTTGTGAACCCAACCCTCAAACAGAGAGTAAGTATATTTCTAACAATATCTGTTTAAATTTGATATTGAACTTTGATACTTCTGCTCATAAAAGGATTTCGCTTGTATAGGAGAGTGAAACAGTGCAAAACAGGACAAATGCGTGTGACAAATTGATAAGATATTTAAAAAAAAATATTTTGATCCTAATGCAGATTATTCTTAACTTAACTACCAAAATAATCAATCAATCTTGTTATGTTATAGCTTATTTCTTGTTTTATGGAAAACGGTTTCTACAATTCAAGTAAGCAACATAAACAAAATGTGTGTCCCGATGGCAGACAGCGATAAAGCGCCTGGTGTATGTGGGAGGAATAAAAGAAATTTTGTACTGCGTGCTTTAGGCAAGGTACAGCATTGTTTTAATTTCTACTATTGTGTTCTTTAAGCCAGGTACACCATTATTTAAACTTTTTATACTTTGTGCTTCAGGCCAGGTACAACACTGTTTATAATTCTTATAATGTACTGTATGCTTTAGGCCAGGTACTGCACTGTTTCAACTTCTTATATTCTGTTCTTAAGGCCAAGTTCAGCATTGTTTAAACTTATTATATTGTGTTCGTTAGGCCAGGTACGATATTCTTTAATATTCTATATACTGTGCGCTTTAGGCCAGTTACAATTTTGTTTAAACCTTTTATACTGTTTAAACTTCTAATACTGTGTGCTTATCGCCAGGTACAACACTGTTTAAATTGGTTATACTGTGTGATTTAGGCCAGGTACAACACTGTTTAAACTGTTTAGACTGTGTGCTTACGGCCAGGTAAAGTATTGTTTAACTTTCTTATACTCTGTACATTAGGCACAGTACAGCGATGTTTAAATATTGGATGCTTTAGGCCAGATACAACACTGTTTAAACGTCTTATACTGTGTGCGTTAGGCCTGGTACAGCGCTGTTCAAACTTCAAATACATTTTCAACCTCTTATACTGCGTGCTTTAGGCTAGGTACAACACTGTTTAAACTTCTTATTTTGTGTCCTTTAAACAAGGTACAGCACTATCTAAACTCCTTATACATTGTGTTTAGGCCAGTTACGACTCTGTTTAAACATCCCTTACTGTGTACTTTAGGCCAGGAACAGCAATGTTTACAATGATTATACTGTGTGTTTAGGCTAGGTACAACATTGTTCAAACTCCTTATACTGTGTGCGTTAAGCCAGGAACAGCATTGTTTAAACTTCTTATACTGTGTGCCTAAAGCAAGGTACAGCACTATTTAAACTTCGTGCACTGTGTGATTAAGGCTAGGTTAAACACTGTTTAAAATTATTTTACTGTTTGCGTTAGACCAGGTACATAAATGTTTAGACTTCGTATACTATGTGATATAGGCCAGGTACAACACTGTTAAAAACTATAATACTGTGTGCTTTAGGCCAGGTACAACACTTTCAATCCTCTTATACTGTGTGCTTTAACCTTTTAACCATTTTGAAAGTGTACAACACGGTATAGGCCCCCCTAAACTATTAGACGTAGGCCGTGAAGAACAATGTATAAACACCGGATCGGTAAAGTTCTAGAGAGGTCGGCCAAGCACTCCGGAACAGTAAGGTGTGTCCCGTAACATTCGGGAAACTCAGCCGATTGTGTCAAGTCGGATAACAAACGTGACTATGTCGTGACAGATTCTGCTGTATCGGATCAAAATCGTAACAATGTCCTATGTTGTCTGGATGGTGTCTGGACGGTGTCCTGTGGATCGGTCGTTTTTTACCATACAATTGAGAACGGTAGAATTGGAACGAATTCGGCTGGAAACGGCTGAATCGGGACGCTTCCTGAACAATATCTTATTGTTGTCGTGATTAAATAAATATTTTAACAAATGTTTGAATTTCCCGCCAAGATTCACATGATCTTGATCAGACTTTTGACAAATTTTAATCGGGAATGGTCCTATCAAGTGACTGAGGCCGTAGACCGTGAACAAAATTGTATAAACATATGATAATGTTTGGCTAAGGCTGTTTATTATATTGTGTTAAAATCTGATCCTGTGTTGCATAGGCCGTGCACAATATTGTATAAATCTCTTGATTTTTTCTATAGTTGCTTTTTCCATGGGATTACTTTAAATTTTTTCCAAATCCTTATTTTTCAGTAAGCAAGTTAATTGACGTTCGAGTTGTCTCCCTTTGCTTAAACTGAACTCTCCGTGAAAAACAAGCAAGACCAAATGGTTACTGTTATTTTTTTTATTATTGTATCTTAAGAATTAACTACAGTTGATCATATTCCCACTAGTGAAACGTTCTGTCGTCTGACGATATTAATCTGTCAAAGCTCAAATGACAACATTTCGATGTCACATATGGGTCCGCATTTTTTATCTGCGAATGATCCATGAAACAAAAAACGTGGCGAATCTAGATAATGCACTCATGGCCACACTAAACACCGCTTTCCTCAAACCGGGTGTCCCTGGTCTTTCCGTCCTACAGAATCATCAATCCTCACCGTGCAAGAGGCCACATTATTTATGTAGAATCGCCCTACTTAAATTATAGCTAATTTGCATAATTAACAACGGTTTATTTGTTGTTTATAATAAATTGTTTGTATAAGGTATCTTATCCCGTTCAGGTGTGTATGTGTGAAGACAGATCACTCTAATTTGCCCGGGCGGAATTACACAGGGGTCGTTCATGATGAGACCAAAGGGAATGTAATTATAGAAATAAAACCCACAATGAAGTCGCGGTGCAGCATGAGCACGGTGTGGGTTTTTTTTCTTTGCGTAAAGAAGTAATACAGACTCAGAAAAAGAGATTAGTGAAATGAAGAACGTCGGAATCACAAATTAAACATATGCGTATTTGTGCAAGATTTTCAAGTCCTATGTATATACTTCACCACAGTGCAAGGTGTAACGAAAACAATCTGTTCAAATCTACATATGTTGGTAGACTGGCTCTCCGAAAGGTTGCGCGTCGATTGAATTTACCAATCAACGCAAGTTTGGTCAGGGTCCTGCCCAAGATGGCAGCCTTGGTCCGTCTTAGAACTAGAGAGTGTAGCCTAGCAGAGGAAAATGGTAGCAAGATATGTTATCCAGTGGAACACGATGGGTCGCCATTCGGTGGGGTTCAAACGGTCTTAACAACACAGTGTATATATCCGCACATGACCTTTAATACAAGTATTTATGTCCACGTTTTTCGGAGATTTGATCATTAGTTATTATTCAAATTTTATGAAAGATCTTTGACTGTTATACCTATATGTTGACTCACCGAAACCGTTCGAACGTAAATTGCCTTCTTTGTTCCCCTAAACATACTGTGACTTCTGAAAGGATTTAACAAACGTTTGCTATTTGCTGTACTTCATTTCTCTGGTATAGACTATGAAACAATACAAAGCATGATCACAACTGCAATGTTTGTTTCCTAAGGTTGGTTCAAGGCTACCCAAGCGTTTGCCATACTTGGAGTCCTGGCCGGCTTTGCTTCTTTAGTGGTGACCGTACTGTATCTGCAATATGAGAAGCTGAAGACGGACATAATGTACAAAGCTGCAGTTGGAGGTCACATTGCGGCAGGTGAGTATTTTACAGCATTAGGAACTGTGTTTTCGCATAAGAAGCGTCCGAAAATACCACCAAACTTTCGGAGATTTAAGTATGTATTACATTATTCCAGAACGGTAGTATCCTGTTCAGGAAGTATCCTTTGAAGTCGGTTGTCGCTCCTCTGTAATCTTCAAAGGACATGTATCGGTCTAGGCTATTGGTCAGGTTTTTTTTAAAATCTTAGACCAATCAAACAGCTATCTTTGTGCCTTCAAATTTGCTATGAAATGTTCCAGGGGTGCAGAGAGCGAAAGTGAGCGTAACCCTTTGATATCGAGGATGGATCATTGGTCTCTGTTAATATTTGCAAAATTACAAAACATTAAACGAAACGTTACAATATGCAATAGATAAGACATAGAAGGTATTTTTGACATACCAACATTTTATTCAGAGGTCAACAAAAAGGGCTTCTCATGTTTTAACATTTTTGATTTTTACAGTAACTGGTATAAAAACTAACACACGCTGATCGTGTAGAGTTTTAGCCATTCGGTATTCCTAACAGTACAGTTCGGATGTAACAAAGCAAATGGATAGCTTGTATCCATGGAAATACCCACATGTATAACCATATAAGTTGTCATTGAGATAACCATAGATCACATGGTAGTCTTGGAGATAACCATAGATCACATTGTAGTCTTGGAGATAACCATAGATGTAGCCATAGAGATAACCAAATATGTAGCCACAAAGACAACCATAGATGTAGCTATAGAGATAACCATAGATGTAGCCATAGAGATAATCATATATGTAGCCATAGAGATAATACGATATGTAGCCACGAAGACAACCATAGATGTAGCCATAGAGATAGCCATATATGTAGCCACGAAAACAACCATAGATGTAGCCATATATATAACCATACATGTAGCCACGAAGACAACCACAGATGTGGCCATAGAGATAATCATATATATAGCCACGAAGACAACCATAGATGTAGCCACAAAGACAACCATAAAGTAGCAAAAGAGATAATCATATATTTAGCCACGAAGACAACCGTAGATGTGGTCATATCGATAATCATATATGTAGCCACGAAGACAACCATAGATATAGCCATAGACATAACCATATATGTACCCACGAAGACAACCATAGATGAAGCCATAGATACAACCATACATCTAGCCATATATTCAACCATAGATGTAGCCATAGAGACAACGAAAGTTGTAGCCACGGGGACAATCATAGATGTAGCCACGAAGACAACCATGGACGTAGCCAAAGAGACACAATGTTACCATATATTTAGCCATAGATACAACGATTGCTCTACGAAGCCAGGAAGACAACCATAGATGTAGCCATATATACAACGATAGAGGTGGCCACGAAGACAATTATGGACGTAGCCAAAAAGAAAACCAAAGGTTTGGCCACGAAGACAACCATAGATACAACGACAGATTTAGCCACGAAGACAACCATGGATGTAGCCATATATACAGCGATAGATGTGGCCACGAAGACAATTATGGACGTAGCCAAAGAGATAACCATACATTTAGCCATTAAGACAACCATAGTATAGCCTTAGATACAACGAAAGATTTAGCCACGAAGACAACCATAGATGTAGCCATATATATAACGATAGATGTGGCCACGATGACAATTATGGACGTAGCCAAAGAGATAATAATAGGTGTAGCCACGAAGACAACCATAGAAACAACGATTGATGTAGCCACGAAGACATTTATGAATGTAGCCAAAGAGATAACCATATATTATAGCCAAAAGAAAGCAAGATATGTAGCCATGAAGACAGCCATGCATGTAGACATAGATACAATGATATATTTAGCCACGAACACAACCATAGATGTAGGCATAGATACAACGCTAGATGTGGCCACGAAGACAACCATAGATACAACGATTGATGTAGCCAAAAAGACAGCCATGGATGTAGCCATATATACAATGATAGATTTAGCCACGACGACAACCATAGATACATCGATTGATGTAGCCACAAAGACAGCCATGGAGATTTAGCCACGACGACAACCATAGATGTAGCCATAGATACAATGATATATTAAGCATCAGGACAACCATATATGTAGCCAAAGATACAACGATAGATTAAGCCACGAAGACAGCCATGGATGTAGCCATAGATACAATGATATATTTAGCCACGAAGACAGCCATGAATGTAGCCATAGATACAATGATACATTTAGCTACGAAGACAGCCATGGATGTAGCCATAGATACAATGATATATTAAGCATCAGGACAACCATATATGTAGCCAAAGATACAACGATAGATTAAGCCACGAAGACAGCCATGGATGTAGCCATAGATACAATGATATATTTAGTCACGAAGACAACCATAGATACATCGATTGATGTAGCCACGAAGACAACCATGGATATAGCCAAAGAGATAACCATATATTTAGCCAAAAGAGAACAATATATGTAGCCACGAAGACAGTCATGGATGTAGTCATAGATACAACGATATATTTAGCCACGAAGACAGCCACGGATGTAGCCATAGATACAATGATATATTAAGCCACGAAGACAACCATAGATGTAGCCATATATACAGCGATTGATGTGGCCACGAAGACAATTATGGACGTAGCCAAAGAGAAAACCATAGGTTTAGCCACGAAGACAACTATAGATACCACGATTGATGTAGCCTCGAAGACAACCATGGATGTAACCAAAAAGATAACCATATATTTAGCCAAAAGAAAACAATAAATGTAGCCATGAAGACAGCGATGGATGTAGCGTAGGAATTCCAAGGAATAAAAACAGGTTGAGGTTACCTTCCCTTGATCGGCAATTCTGTTACGTTTGCTGACAAAAGAAAATGAAAAAAAAATCATCTTGCCTATGCATGCCAACTGAAAGCATTTCAATGCCTAAATGTAAGGTACATGTACGGGAGTGACGTCGATCGCAATATATAATGCAGACCCTGGGCCTAGGGCCCCAACACCTTATAAATAGTGTTAATGGTGGCGGGAAATTTGCGTTACGGACACGGACAGATACGGACACGCACACAGACATTAATGAAACGGGACAGTATATTGTGTCACAGTGTATACATTTACTTGTATACATAGTGTATAACACTGGGCAACACAGCCAAAGAGGCAACCTTTAAACTTTGTCATTGATCAGAACCAAGCCTTTTACTCATATACACATGCAAACGGATCTTTACTAAATACACGAAGCAAAATGTTGATTGAAATATAAGAAACACTTATTGGACACTTCAAATAAAATGTAAGAGTTGAGGCTTATGCGCTGACGAAAGATGGGGAAACTTGTATGTGTAATCTTTTAAACAACCAGTTGATCAGATGTCAACTAAGTTTGCTTTAAAATAAAACTGGGACCAGGGAATCAAATATTATATACAGGAAGGGTGTTGTCTCCCATGGTACCGAACGGTGGAACCGAAACCTTTCGATTTTATTTCTGTATTTTCTTTAAATTATTAGATATTTGTAGGATATTGACATGAACATACATGCACCACTCATCAATCCACACACACCAATCATCATGATCATGATCATGATCATCATCAGCATCATCATTATCATTATCATCACCACCATCAACTTGATTATGCAGCGAATAGAAAACACCATTCTGATTGGTCACTCAGTTATTATTACATCAGTTTATTCTATATTATGTAATTGCTTGGTACGTGTTGTAAAGAAATATTGTGTATGACGTCAAAATTAAAAAGGAGAACGTGTATGGTACGGTACGTATTTGGTTACCGACACAAAAGGACCCTGAGCTGGTCGTTTTTAATCGAATATGACCAATTTAAATTACAACAAGCAACTGCTGTGTAGATTGTGTCAGATATATGCCTACCGTAAAAAGGATTGTGAAAATGTATAACAGGTTTACACAGGAAGAATGATGGCCGGAAATATTACTAGTATTTCCTTGTTCTAGTGTAAAAAATAACACTTTTCTCTGAGACACCGTGTGATCTTATTTGCCGTAATGACCAAGGTATTGATGTCTTATTGACCTTGTGGTCTATCATTGGACTGGGCCCACTTGTATAAAACATCTCAAAGTTAAGGAACATCTCAAGCAATGTATCGTCTATGGGGAATCTGGTTAATTAATATGTTACTTATAGATCTCAAAAAGTTTTTATTGTAAATAGTAGATCTTCTGTTAAGATAACAAATGCAGGAGTACCTCAGGGTTCGGTTCTTGGCCCGTTGCTGTTGATACTATATATTAATGACATAACAGATAAAATAGAAAGTCTTTCAAAACGTTCTGCTGATGACACATCGCTTTTATATTCGGATAAATAACCACAAGTAAATGAACAAAAATCAATAATGTTCTCGTAAAAATACAATTGTGGGCAGTTAAGTGGCATGCAAAAACAGGGTCTTTACTTATTTCTAATATTGAAATTAACTTTAATAATGTAAGTATTGAGTTTTTTGAAAATCATAAGCCCCTGGGAGTATTCATCAATGCTAACTGTAAATGGACCTATCACATTGATAATATATGTAAAAAAGAAGTTAAACAATTAAGTATCCTCCGTAATTTGAAATATACCCTGAACCGACGTACACTGAAAAAGATATATAGAACATTTATACTTTCTACGTACTCTAGAATATTGTTTTGAACTTTATGAGGGTTGTTCTATTACTGGTACAGACAAATTAGAAAAGCTACAACTTGAAGCTGGACGTATTGTCAATAGTTTACCGTCTTTTACGGTCTATATATAATGAAACTGGATGGGATTCTCTAGCCCATCGGAGATCCCTTCGAAAACCTGTTTTATAAAATCCACAATAATATAGCTCCTAACTATCTCAACACTCTACTCCCTTCCCTTGTTGATAACTCTCACTATAACCTTCGAAACGCTGAAAACTACAACCTACCGAAGAACATACTTGAAATATCTAACGTATCCTTCTTTCCTTCTACTGTTAGACTGTGGAACCAGTTACCTACTAGTATACGACGTAGCGCCACGTTCTCGTCATTCAGAAACGCCATTCGAGACGTAAATTTGCCTCTTGTACCAAATTATTTTTTCTATGGTGATAGAAAAAATAATATTTTGCATACAAAATTAAGAAACCGTTCTAGTACTTTGAAAAGTGATCTTTTCCGTGTTAATCTTTTGATTACCAACGTTGTATATATGGCTTCCCTATTGAAGTCACACACCATTTCCTTTGTATCTGTGATAAATATATCGAACAAAGAATTAAGCTTTATCGTGAACTGAATGAGTACATGCCTCTTAATTTAAATCTACTTTTATTTGGAGATACATCTCTTTCGGAGCAGAAAAACATATAACGATATTCATGCATACTCAGCAATACATTCGTGACTCTAACAGATTCTAGTAACTCCCCCTACCACAGGGACCTATATTTTGTCATAATATTGTATCATATCTTCTGATAATTTAAGACATGTTTCTGTGTGATTTCCAGCGGTATTCATCTTCCTGGCAGTCGTCATTTACGGAGCTAAGGCCATTGGGAATTTGGCCTTGTCCTTCGGATTGTCCATCGTTGGGATGCTATTCCACGCAGTCGCAGGAATTCTAATGGGTATCGACAAGTTCAAGACCATACCACAATAGACTGACGAAGGAACGACAGTGGTGGAGTTATCGCCTTTTGTAATTTGCTTTCTTGTAATATTTTTACATTAACCGCTTTTAAATACTTTTATTTACTGTACGAATGGTCGTCATCATGTTGCTTTATTTATCTCCGTTTCAAGTCTTCCTGTCGTTCAATCGGATCAATTCGCCATTTTTTCGTCACATTTGAACAGTTTAGCGGAAGGTTTCGAAATAAGGCATACTTGTAATGCGAACAAATGATATCTCTCTCCTTAATGAAAATAACTAATTATTATAAACAATCTCAATAATCTCAGATCTGAAGAGGACTTCAAGGCACACTTAACCTATACAGCCCCTGAAGCCCTCATCACACTCTAAAACATACCCCAGTTTTTATCTTTTATCTATACCTTGCACAAAACATCACCCCCCCCCCCCTCCAACTAATCACTGTAAATAACCCCCTTTTCACGCCTCTGCAATAGGACCCCCGTAATTTAAAGAAGAAGAAACCTGATCCCATGATCCCATGATAATATTTTTATTTAAAAACATTGCAGATCTCATGTATGATTTTTTATGTAAACAAATACAAGAAGAACATGTTTGAGGATCTAGATTACAAAATAAGAGAAGTGGGGTTTTAGCTAAATGAGAAGTAAATAGAAACCTTAAAATTGTTAATTTAATGATATAATTCTGTTGGTGTTTTTGTTCAAACAGAGTGTAGGAAGAGTGATATTTTTAGATACACCATGTATCTTTTTTATCCTCGCATGCATCTTTGTTTGTGTCACGTGATCAACATGCAAAGCTACAGGTGCACATGTTTATGTCACAATCAATTGATTAAAACAAATAGTCCTTGTTATTCTTAATGATTTATTTTAAACGGACAGGTATCATGGTTTATTTCATAATCAATAAACACTGATTCATTTTTGATAAAATCGAAATAACTTTTCCACAAAACAAACATGGCGCAGTAAGTTCACGGATGTGTAACGTCAACCTGTCAGAAGATAGAATTACAAATACCGCGCCAAACATTTTATAAGACAATGTCATCCCATGTGGAGAATAGCCAAATTTAAGATTTTTATGATTGGTCCTGTATATAACGAACGATTGGTCCTCAGTATAAATACAATAATTGGCTCCCAGTTGTTTCTATTCTGTCACCCCTCAGGTCAAAACATGATTTGGGTCGTATTGCAACTGGTTTTGTTCATGTAGTATTTAGCAGAAAAACCCATGATTCATGAAGTCATTTGACACTGTCATAAATGTTCCACACAAAATTCACAATAAAGCGATAGTAAACATCTTACCAAAACAGAAATCTATCAATCACTTCACTAGAGAAAAAGTAACATTTTATAAGGACAACGGAAGACGACTTTTCTACTTAGTATGTATTTATATCGTTTTGCATTCCTGTATAAATATCGTATCACAAGTTGAATTTGTTATTAATGAATTTGTTTGTATTACACTTCATAGAACGACTGCATGTTAATATATGTTATGTTGTTATCAATATGAAACATAGTGGCAGTATTCAACATTATTTTGCTTTACCATTTACCGAATAATAATGTTCATTCCATATAGATCACTATTGAAATCAAACAAATTATTTTTGGTCTATTATATTAATTTGCTAGCATGGAAGTTAAGTATTGCCAGGGATGGGACCTCGGGATCAACAACCTAACCAGTATGTGTCCCTCTCGTGATGGAAATTAAGTACTGCAAAGGGATGGGGCCTCGGGATCAACACCCTTAAAAGCATGTGTCCCTCTCGTGATAGATATTAAGTACTGTCAGGGATGGGGCTTCGGGATCAACACCCTTACTAGTATTTGTCCCCAAATAACGGAAATAAGTATTGCCTGGGATGGGGTCTCGGGATCAACACCCTAAACAGTTTGGCCCCTCCAGTGATGGAAATTAAGTACTGCCAGGGATGGGACCTCGGGATCAACACCCTTACTAGTATTTGTCCCCAAATAACGGAAATAAGTATTGCCAGGGATGGGGACTCGGGATCAACACCGTTAACAGAATGTGTCACTGTCGTAATAAAAGTTAAGTATTGCCATGAATGGGACCTCGGGATCAACAACTTTACCAGTATGTGTCCCTTATCGTAATGGAAATTAAGTGCTGCCAGGGATCGGACCTCGGGAACAAAATTAGCTAACTTGTGGAATTTGTTCCACATTAAATGGATGAAGTAATTATTTTATCTGCACATATACACTGCAAGTCTTTGTTTCTGATTAATTAAATAAAACAAACCACAACTATTAACACAGATTATTCGGTTGATCAACTTAATGGAAGAAATCACATCATATAATCATCAGTAACAGAAGAATGAAAAGAAAAGGGCGATTTTGCAGGTGTACCTTTATGTGAAATTGTTGGGAATCGAATAATGTTAACAGGATGTTTACCATTATTAAACATTCATTTGAATGACTGTTGATATAAAAAAATACATTTATAAAGAATGTTCATTGCAATTTAAATGAGGTAAAATCTAGCGGGACACATACGTTTCCATGTTATATCTCCATCGCTTAAAGGTTCAAAGGTTTAAGGTAGCCATCATGATCTAAATGAGAAATATGTAACAGTATTTCTTTGTTTGATATAAAGTTTTCTTATCTAGCTCATTAGTATTCCATTTTGTTTCCCTGTCACTATCCCGTTTCTCACTATGGTAACATGAAATTACTTAGATTTGACCTATATTTGCATTTTGGTTTTCGTTGATGAAACAGAAGTCGATAACCTGTCAGAACACCTGGTCTTATTATTTGCCGGCATGAACCGGCGAATCTATAAGTAATAGACTGGATAAGACGGTATGTGATGGGACGTGGGGTTTATGTCTTTGTTCTGCTATTATAGTTATCATGTATTATACAGGCTTTATCATGTATTCTCATCTGTTTAAAATTATTTCTTTATTTTTTGGTTTCGTATGTTTGTTTTATGGAATGTAAAGTTCTACTTAAACGTTGATATCGTTTTTGTTTAAGTTTACGGTACAATTTTGCCATGTAGGGATAAACATTGATCTGAATTGTGTCAGTACGTGTGACTCCCGTCTACTTTATCAGCTTCACAAGTAGCGTTACGATAACAATTTCGCAATTGCAAATACCATATCAAAATATATAAATCACCAGAAGTACAAAAAAGGTGAATGCACAAATTTATCTTCAGTTAATTAATTGTCCTTTTTAAAAGCGTTCATTTATTTATCACCTGTTTTCCAAATGTTGTGATCGTCAGTTCATTGAAAGGGAAGGCAACCGTAATAGAAACAAGAGGCCAAGGGCAACGTAGTTCTCTGGGAATATGACTTAAGTGCTTGTAACTGCTGAATCCTGTTGTCAGGTCCCGGGAACAAGATACCTTGCATCAATTCTGTTATACAATTTAACAATGACATCTTTTTTAAAACTATAGAAATTGTCTGTAAGACCCGGATGCTCCTGTATACGCCTCTCTGGACTAACGTATACACACCAGTGTAATGGGTGCTATCAGCTTTGTTACACACGATGTGAATTGGCGTGTGTGCTATTTGTAGCAAGCCAACATTCACATTTTAGTTAATAACAAGAGTACTAATCAACACAGCCGGGTAAACTCTACATTGGTTCATGACAGAATAACCAATACTGTGATTCCATTTTAGTGGTTTATTTCAAATCACAAAGAAGACCCCTATCAATCCGACAGGGGTCCTAATGACAATACTTATAATGGCTTGTCGTTTATATATTCGATTCATTTTATGATATAGCTGCACTTTGAATTCATAGTCTGTAGGTATAGGTCGTCAGCATAGGTTTTACGTGACAAGACATTAACATGACAATACAATACAGGTGAAAAATACTCAGGTGAACTGCACAAACAGGTTTGACAAGTACATGTATTAAAAGAGATAGCGTTAGAAATACCTGTCTTAAAATAATTTAAAAGTACAAAATAATTAAAAGTACATTACCACTTTGGTAATATATAGAAAGCTTGAAAGATTTTAATAAAACTATATTTAAACAAAATACTCACTGCCACATACATTTAAACAGTAACATTTTCAAGAAAATAGAACAACAATCGTTTCAAAATATAAGTAGCCCAGAGAACTAAACTTGAAGCATTAATTTTTCTCCGAATTTGTCAGTGGAGAACACAAAAATGTTTGTCGATTTTTTTTTTTTAGGATTGATAACGAGATATACTTACTAGTTTTATTTTGTAATTGTTATGAATTATGCTCAGACCTGAAAAAGGGCATTGTTTCTTTCCATTTTTCTGTTACTGTTGATTTTATGATGTAATTCTGTCATGTAATTGATCAACTGAATATTCTTAATCCATGTGACGATTTTTAATAGTCACTATTACCATGTACAGACATTAAATACCACCGGAGTATATGACTTAAATGCAAACAAATATCTGGTAAAACGCAATGTATTTTCGTATTCTGTGCAAATTATATTTCTGAATTTGTTTTTTTAATTCTAAATTAAGTAAAAGATGTGGAAGACATTGGGATACTTTTTTATTGTCTGATTCATGTACAGATTATTTAGTAGTAATGCCAATGAGTCGATGTGTCTTTAGTATATACCAGGTATGTGAACAACCTTTTGCCATCAAGGACTGAAATCTCATTCTGAATCAATTGAAACTACATGACGTTTAGACTTTCACCAAGGTGGCCGGGGTTCGATTCCATGGTTGGACGTGAAAAGGAATCGGGTACTCCGGTTTCCTCTTACAATAAGACCCCACGCGTTAATATTTGGGCCAACAAGAGTGGTTAATTTAAGTTTTGTTATAGTGTTTATAGAACTTTATATATACACTTTGTGTAAGTGATTAAGAGTAGTTTTATAGAAGCATTAATGTTTAATTTCATCAATATGTAGTAAGTAGTGTTTAAAATAGTTATTAAAGAAATATATAAACTATTTATCAGTGATACTTTGCATAAATCTTCATCTACCAAACATAATAACCAAAATGTCAAGTCTATCTATAAGGTTATAATTTCTTATTGTTATGATTGTACTACTGATGATTTACATTGCTACTGTAGGTTTGCACATTGATATGTTATGAATATTTTTCTATTTTTGATACCTACTATAGTCGTGTGAATATACTTATCATGAATAATGTTGTATTATTCTTTATACCCACTAGCCATGTGAAATAAGTCGTTATGAAAACTCACTGAAAGTATATCGAGTTAACATCACCTTCAGTATAAAACTCTGTCTAATTTTTGTTCTGTTTCATCTCTAATTATGTACTTCTCCATTAAAATGTTGACTGATTTATATTGCATTGTTAGTGTCATTCTTATGGCTTCAAATATCCCACATTTTACATATAGTAGTTTCTTGTAATAAAGCAGGGTCGGCCGGTGAATTGATGCTTTACATCAATGTGTTCTCGTTCTTGTACTTCAAGTGCATCCTTGCACATCTTTCCTTTTTTCATATTGCAAAGCTTTAGTGGAATCATTAAAGCAGGAAAAGCAGGAAAGTTTGGCTACCGCTAAAATTAGAATACTGCTAAAATGTGTACAGTATACAGTAATAAATTTTTTGTCCATATTTTATCGATTACGGTTTCGAATTACGGTTTTGCGCAGACTTCGGTATTTTTATGTTGTCTTCTTGCCAATAGTTTCGATAATATTGCTGTATTAACGGTGGTTTCGTATCTCTAATATTCACTGAAGCGCTGCAGACATTAGGAGTTCGTTACTGGAAGGAAGAAATAAAAATAGTGCCTTCGTCCCAAGTCGACTCGAGATTTTTTCTACGTGCGAGCGATGAGAAAATTGTTCGAACGACAAACACTAAAAATACTGTAAGATAAACTATTAGTCATCTATATACTTCTACCTTATACATTTCTCCATTTAAAAAACTCAACTAAACACCATGTTTTCCAAATGACTTCTAAGCTCAATGGTCAACGATTGCCTGTGACAAACGTAAACGAAAGCTTTGCGCGGAGGAATACAATGAACCTTAAAACTACGTAGAAAATATTTTTCATAAGCACATTTAAAGCTGAAAATGTGTTGTTATTCTCACAAAATTTTCCCGTAACTTTGTATTGATATGTTTATGACGGACTATTTTCTTACACGAATCACTTTTGTGTGGACACTATTTCCGGTTTCGGACGTCATCTAGCGCCAGCAGACGTTCTTGTTTATCCCCCCCCCCCCGGCCCAGTCCATTTAAATTTTACGTAAATGAAGCGCTGGCCAAACAAATAGCCCAGATATTTGTGATAATTATGTGATTTTCGGTAGAGTGATTCCCCTTTGAACAAACGTTAAGTAAACGTTCTTGGAATCTAAATTTGTATTGATTTCTCTTTATTAATGATGATTAGCGAAGTTTGATCAAAACCAATATTACCAGAATCTTTTATTAATTACTTGGAATGGATATGACATTATTTCTGTATACATGTATGCTGTAGGATAGTTATTGATAAATGAATAAATGTGATGATTATGCAAATGACCTGGTACCTTGAGTTCCTGAAAATGGTTTCCACATATAAGCAGGGTTATGCCAGTGGTTTAGGGTTGGCTGTGTTAAACCTACAGAAGGTATCGAGTGGCATTCCATACAGCAGAAGAAGGTAAGAACACCTCTGCAAAATACTATACCAGAAACGCCTGCTAAGGCTACTCTGGTGGCTATTTTGTACGTTGTGTTCAGTGACAAGTACGGTACCGGTAAGTGAACGGCTTGGAGACGCCAGAAGCTCCTGCGTAAGGGGTCGCCTGAGAAGGCTACTCTGGTAATCCAAGCCCGCAGCTGATCTGGTACCGGTGTGCTGTGGTGGGGAGTGTGGAAGGTTACCTCGGGAGCTGCCAGGGATCAGCTCGGTGACAGGGTACCTCGGAGCTGCCAGGGATCAGCTCAGGGACAGGGTACCTCGGAGCTGCCAGGGATCAGATCAGGGACAGGTTACCTCGGAGCTGTCAGGGATCAGCTCGGTGACAGGGTGCCTCGGAGCTACCCGGGATCGGCTAGGTGGCAGGCGTATATCGGGACTGTTAGCGGGTAGCAAGGCCATACCTGGAGCTAGGAGTGTCAGCATTCCGATTTGCTGGTTGTCGTGTGGTTGGAGAGGTTGTGTACGTCCAGGCGACGTGTGTCGTGGTTCGACAGCACGGGTTGATGGGGACAGAGGTACTATCCTGGCCCACAATTGTCTTCATTT